TGCTATGTTCTTCCGTTTTAGGGGTGTGCTAATCTCATTTGCACTTATCATTTTGACAATTAATTGTCTGTTTCTCTAAATCCTGCATTCTTGTCTATTTTCTTCCCTTTGTTCTTAACCTCTCACTCTTTTTTTTTATAAATAAGAAGGAAATGTTAAAGAGAGGGACTTTGCCTATCACCTGTGATCTACTAGTGAAGTGGTCTGTTTTTGCTATATTGCCTCTCATTGTTCCCCTTACCTTGCTTTTGATGATAGGTTTGAATATTTTCTTCTTTTCTTTTACTCTCCCCTTCACACTCCATGCTTCCAGTTGGAATTTGTCTCACTTATCACTATTCCTTTATTTATCTTACCTTCTTTCTTAAATTCCCCTGCCTTTTCCTCTGACGTTTCCTTTTTGAGTTTAATGATTTCTAAACCTCTGTCTCTGTCTCTTATTGTGTTTAATATTTCTTTAGTTCAGATAATAATGAGATTCATAGGATGCCCACTATTTGAATACTCTTCATCTGATGTAGCTCTATTATGTAATAGCAATGTCTCTCCTCTTCCTTTTTTCCTCCCAGTATAGTTGCTTATCTCTCTCATTTCTGTCTTCTAATACTATCAAAACAGAACAAAATCACCTTTAGTTCTTAATCTGTATTATTTTTCTTCATGACTCTTGGAGATATTAGGCTTCTGAGAAAACATTTCTCTTTTCTTCCTATTTAGCATGTAAACAAATTATTCCCATATTGCCTTCCAATTGAACAAATGAATATACCACTTTCTGTTTTTCCTGCATTTCCAGTTCAAAATGTCTACTCATTTCTGATCCTTTTCATCAGAAATGCTTAGAAGTCCTCTCTATCATGAAAGTCTGCTCCCCTTCCACCACAGGATTATACTTAGTTTTTTTCATACAAATTTTTCTTGATTGAAAGTCTTTATCTTTTGATTTTTGGAATTTCTTTTTCTAAGCTTTCTGAGCTTTTGTAGTGGCTCTCAATTCTTGTGAGATTGTGATCATGGTTTCTTAGCACTTGATCCCTGTGTTTTTGGCTGGTTCTTCTTTGACCTGGAAGCTCTGGACTTTAGCTATGACAATTTGGAGATTTTCCATTCTGAGATTTCTTTCTGAACTTAACTTGAGTTCTTTTTTTTACTTTACCTTCTTGTTCATTTATGATTTCTTGGATACCGTCATCCAGGAATTTTTCTTTTTTGGTCATGATTTTCAAGTACTTCAAATATTTTGATATTATCTCTCCTGTACATATTTTCTAAGTCATTTGTTTTTCATAAAATATTTCCTATATTTTCTTTTTTTAAAATTTTTTAGTTTTGTTTTATTATTTCTTGTCTCACTGAGTCATGTTTTACATTTAGTTCATTCTGACTTTCAGGGTAATCAGTCCTTGCCTGTAGTTTCCCACCATTTCTTTTAAGGTACCATTCTCCTTGCCATTTTATCCTCTCTAGCCCTTACATTTTGTTTTATTTCTTCCAGGTGCTCTTATAATCTTCTGGAAAGGACACTTTTTTCTGAGACTTTAATTGGACTTGTGAGGCTATTCTTTGCTTCCAGGTTTACACTTTGGTTGATTCTCAGTCCAAGGTATTTCTTACATTACTTGACTTTTCTTTGTTTTTTTCACATCAGCACCTTCAGTGTCTAGGTAGAAGTCTTGTGTTTTGATCAAACTCTACTCCTGTACTTCTGGATGGTGTTATGTGAGGTGATATGACCCTGAGAACAGGAGGAAGCATATGTGAGAAATGTTACAAAGGTAACATTGATAGGTCGCTTTGGTTTGGTTCTGGTCCTGGCTGTCTATGTATTGCATGTCTATTAATTTTTAGTTGAATATTTTGGAGTCACTAAGTGAAATATGATATCACTTTCAAAATGTGATAATTAGGCATGACATTTTGAATTGTTAGGGCTTTGTCCTGGCTTTCCTTCATTTCTGGAACTGTGAGGTGATCTCATAAAATCTGATTTAAAATTGATATAAAAAGCCGTGTAGTTTACCCTGCATTCAAACAGGAATCCACTCTACAACATCATTGACAATGGGGTCATCTAGTCTGTTTGAAATAAATGATGTGTTTAGTATTTCTGCTTTTCCTTATTTTAGCAGGAGGTCATTATGCCCTGAAACATGATTAATTTTTGTAAAGGTACCATGAAAAACTAAGAAGTATGTAAGTTCATGTCTATTTTCATTCATTAACCCACAGAAAAAATATTATTTCTAATTGTTTTAAAGTTCTTGTCAGGTTTCAGTTTGTTAATTGTTTAACTTTTGGTTAGGATTTGTCTAGGTCAGAAAAGGATGCATAGTAAGTTTCCCCACCATTATAATTTTGCTGTCTAATTCTTTTATTTGTTTAACTTTTACGTTAAGCTTTTAGATGATGTGCTATTGGGTATATGGATCTGTTCCTTTATGGTACTTTTAATAATAATATAATTGCTGATTTCTCTTTGTCATGTTTATATTTACAATAGCCTTATTGGAAATTATAATTGCTACCTCTATGTTTTTGAGTTTACCTGACATGTAATAGGTTTTGCTTCACCCCCTCATTTTAACTCTTTGTGAATCTTTACATTTTACTTATGTTTCTTGTAAATAACACATTCATGTATCACCCTTAAACATCTGACTTTGTTTTGCTTACAACTCTTTCCTTACCTATCCTGTCCTTCCTCTTAGATCCTACCCTTCCTTGTTCCTGTTCCTTCCTATTTCCCTGTGGAGATTAATGTTTTTCTAAAGCAAAATCTCAGTGTCTGTGACTATGAATAGGTATGTGTAATTGTATTCAAAAGAAATGTGATTCATTGATTGCTCATTCCCCCCACCCTTCTTTCTATGACTATATATTCTTTTTTTATGTACCTATATGATATAGTAGTGATTTCCTTCCCGGTCTTTCTCTTCTCTTCCCCAGTATAGTACTCTGTCCCTATATTTTTTACTTCTCCAAGACCATTAAAGCATAATAAATTATCCACAGACCCTGTCATCTTTACCTTTCTCTGTGACCCTTAAGGAAATTAGGAATCTGAGAAGACATTTTTTAAATCATGTAAACAATTCATCCTTATGTACTCCTTTTTAGTTAAACAAGTATGTGTTCCTTTCTGATTTTTCTCTTAGTGCTTGCATTTTCATTGCAAAGTATCTACTTACCTTTTATCAGGAGTGTTTGGAAATCTATCATTCCTAGTAAAGGCCCATTCTCTTCCACTTCTAGAGTACTACACTTTGTTTTGTCAATGGGTTATTCTTTTTTTTTTTTGCTAACTCTTTATGTGTTGACTTTTGGAGTATTGTATTCTAAGCTCCCCTCTCCTTTATAGTTCCCATTGTTAAATCTTATGGATTCTTTATTGGGGGTCCTTGATACTTGAACTTCTTTTTAGCTTCTTGTAGTTTTTTTCCCCCATGACATGGAAGCTCTGGATTGTGGCTATGACATTGTTGGAGTTTTCATTTTGGGATTTTTTTTAAGAAGTCAGCTGTTTGTTTCTTTTATTCTCACTTTTCCCTCTGGTTCTAAGAGTTCTGGGTGGTTTTTAATTCATCATTTAATTCATCATGATGAAAAATGCTGTCCACATCCAAAAGAAGAACCATGGAGTCTGAATGCATATCAAAACATATTATTTGCTGTCTCTTTTTTCTTCTTTTTTTGTTTGTTTTTTCTTTCTTGTGGTTTCTCCCATTGGTTCTAATTCTTTATAACATGACTAATGTGAAAATGAGTTTAATATGAATGTATATGTAGAGCCTATATAAAATTGTGTACCATCTTGGGTGGGGAGAGGGGAGAGATGGGGAGAAAATTTGGAACTCAAAATCTCATGGAAGTGAATGTTGAAAACTAAAAATAAATAAATAAATACATACATACAAAAATATGATCTCAACTTTTTTTTTTGGTCATGGTTTTCATATTATCTGATAATCACGAGGGCTTATACCAGGCTGGTTAGTGTCAAACAAGAGAAGAGACCATATTTGAGGGATATTATGAGGGTGAAGCAGTCCTTGGCAACAGATTTGTATGACAGAGTGAGGAGCCGAGAAGGACATTTAGGTTCTCAACTTAGGTGCATGGGAGGATGGTTATTCCTCTGACAGTAATAGAGAAATTTGGGAGGGGGAAGATTTTGAGGGAAAGATAATGAATTCAATTTTAGATATATTGAGTTTAAGATGACTAATAAACTACTAGCAATATGATTCTGGGAGTTAGCAGAAACATCAGGGCTAGATAAGTGGCTTGTCAGCATAAAGATGATAATTAAAACCATAAGAGCTGATAAAATCATCAAGTGAAATAGTATGGAGTGAGAAGAGAAGAGGTCCCAGGAAAAGAGCCATGTGGGAAAACCACAGACAGAGTGACCTGGAATATGATTCCACTTTTTGTTCTGTCTTTTAGAGTTCAAAGATTATTCTTTTTGACTAAGAAAACATAAACAGAACTAAAATACTTTATCAAGATTACTTTTGTATTCTTGTAATTGCACAATTTTCATTTATTTTTTAAGTTTCAGAAATAGAAGAAATTTAAAATCTTATGTGTGTATGTCATATATACACAAATAGGCATATGTACATATATGTTTATGTATCTATATATAATTGTATATGTGTATATATATGTAGAATTTTTATTAACAAATATGAATGAAATTTATTAGTAAATATGAACAATTAGCCAATAACAAAAAATACTCTTTTAGGTTATTGAGCGTGATACTTTATCTGGTGACTTGAAAGTGATTAATATATTTTCCCACTAGTACTGACAGTATTATTTCTCTTAATGGAGGAAGCCTATTGGTTTATAAGTTTTTTATTATACTTCTAAATTTGGTAAAATTTTATATAGCATCGAGAGGAGCTAAAAACCTAGTAGAATCTGTGATTTATCACTCTTTTCCTTTTTAGTGAGTTTCATGTGTACATTTTATTTGCTCTTTTTTCTCTAAGTGAAAAATAGCTGCCCAAATTCTGGAATAGAATGTGGAACTTCAGGAACTTGTATCAGTCCAACTAATTGGTGTGATGGAATATCACATTGTCCCAGTGGTGAAGATGAGAACCATTGTGGTAAGTATGTCTAGAAATTAATAATGAGAAGGGACTATCTTGTTTAGGACTTCCTTATTGCTTAGAAATTTTCCTATTCACCAAGTGATTTTTTTTTTCCAATGACATTCACAATGCAGTTTAGCTATCCTCCCTGACACCAACCTTATTAGGGACATGTGGCAGGCCCACGATTTACATTGGTGGAGAGAAGCCCTTCCAGTGCTTCAAGGATTTGGGATTTTATTCAACTATAAGTAGGAAAAAGTTAGGAGAGTATTCCAATCATAAGTAGTTAAAAAAAAACTGTTTAAACTTTGTTAAGTGGACATTTGAAAACAGATTATAGAGCTAAAAGATAGAATTATCTTTGAAAGTAGATGTCTTTAAATTTATTTTGGGCATTTGTTTTTGAAGATGACATCAAATTACATATTGTAGAAAAATAATTAGAAAAAGAGCAAGGAATAATGTTTATTAATAATTGTTAATAGTTAATAATATAATAATGTTATATAACAGAGTATTAATAATCATTTAGTGGTTATTTGAAATATTTTCTGCAAGTTGGCAAATTCAATATAACTTCATGACAGTTGAATGAAATTTTAGAAACTGCTTATAAATTTTGTTACATATTATTTCAGTACCTCTACAGGTAATTCTATTTGTTTTCAATGAGATTTAAATTTTGTACTCTTTTACACTGCTCTTTGGCTGATATTTCAAAATTGGAAACAGGTTATGTTTATAAGTCTACATAGATATATACACATATAAGTATATACACATATTTAATTTTTTCTCTCTTCTGGAGCTTAAAAAGCCACATAGTACCATTTCAAGAGTATGAAAACAACCTCAGCAAGGTTGTGCTTTCCTTCAGATCTTACTTGACCAGAAGGGACCAAATCTGTCATACTGCTCCCTTGTGATCCTTCTTTTTCTTTTTTCTTACCACTCCACTTTTTTCCTCTGAATTTGCCTAGTCTTTGGGAGAAGAAAAAGGCTTTTCCCTTTTCCTTTGCTCTCTTTCCTGAAAACAGACTGGGTAGCCCTACTTTTAAGTGCTTTTAAGAGTTGTACTACTAAGCACTATATTAAATATGAGAACTAAATGTGAAAAATAAAAGGGAAATAATAAATTTTATAGAGATTTTCTCTGTCAATCCTGTTCCTAAATGCAGATGTAAGCCTTTGTCTTTTCTTACTTTGTTTTTTTTTCTTCTTCTCATCTTATCACCTCTTTTCTTTAGCATTTGATCTTGTTTAGGGTCAGTCAGGCTAGATGTTAGATTGAATTCTAGGGGCTGATATAGATTTTCTTTGGCAAGACTTTTAGGTATCTTAATTCTTCCAGAATCTATTTTCCATATCATTTGTTTATACTAAATTTGTGTTCAGGTAGCACACACAGATGTATTCAAGTACTCAAGGGAGGGCTTGAGTCTTCCATTTCTCTGAGTTTCTGGCACCCTAATCTAGTAATATATAATGTTCCTTTGCCCCAGACTAGGCAATGGATTCTGTCCTTGCTTCCTGGATGAGAATGAACATTTTCTGGCTGGCTACAAGCCATTTGTTCAGACCCTGACTTCCCTCCCTCCCTTTTCTTGAGATCATAATACTCAGACTCCTAGCTCTTTCTGTTTCTTGACATTGGTCCATTCTCTTTGACTTGGATTTATTTGCCTGAAGCAAATATCTTAACAAGGTTATAATGATAAGCTCTGCTTGTGAAAATGAAATGACCTCCAGTATTTGGAACGGTGTTGACTTCCAGCTCTTTGCCTTTGTTGAGACACACTCTAGCCAGTGAACAATGACCTGAGGCATAGTAATGATACCTACCTGCCAGAGTTGTTGTGAGGATAAAATGAGATAATATTGTAAAGCACTTAATGTAGTGCCTGGCATAAAGTTTAATAATGCCAGTTTCCTTTCTTCTGGTTTTACATATAAGGAAACGAAGGGCCATAGAGGTTAAGTGAAGTAAATAGAGTGATAGGACAGAACTGAGATTCTATCCTAGGTCTAGTAACTCCAACTGCAATGACAAGACACTGTGCGGACTTGTGCAAGCCAATTTTGCTCTCTAGTTCTTAGTTTCTCATGTAAAATGAAAGATTTGGCCATGTTGGTCTCTAAGAGAACTTCTAGCTCTAGGATTCTACAGATCTCTATAAAAAAAGGATTTTAAGTTATTTATACATATATAAATGAGAGAATGTAAGTTTTGGTTTTCTTTTTTTTAATAAAACTTACTGAAACAAATTTTTATTTTTAAATGCAGTTCGCCTCTATGGACCAAAATTTATCCTTCAGGTTTACTCATCCCACAACAAATCCTGGTATCCTGTGTGCCAAGATGATTGGAATGATCACTATGGAAAGATAGCATGTAAAGACATGGGATATAACATGTGAGTATGACATATCTAATGTGGAAAGAAAAGGATCACATGTAATATGTCTTTGTCCTACTTGGTCATGAATGGAGAGATGTTTGGACAAGTTTAAGTATGAGTGAGCTATAATAACTGCCAACATAAATTGATGTCCCTAATAAGGTGGGTGTCAGGGAGGACAACCAACCTCATTCTGCCTCCCTTTTAAACTCTTGAAGGCAACTATCATGTGGAAGAGAGATTAAACTTGTTCTGCTTGGTCTAAAATATTACTATGAGGAATGATGGCTAAAAGTTTCAGTGAAGAAGATGTACAGAAAAACTTTCTAATTGTTGGAGTTATCCAAAAGTAGAAGACTTGTCTTTGGGGGTAGTGTGTTTCTTATAATTAAAGGTTTAAAAATATTTTAGTATCAAAGTCATTCCTCTCCCTTCCATCTCAGCTTTCTTTCATTTAATTACTTTGAAAGACAGCAAAATCCTCTGATGCAGTGAATACATTTAACAACATATGCAATATTCTGTCTTTGTAGTCCCTATTCTCTCTGCTGTAAAGAAGGAGATAGTTCATTATCTTTTTTCTGGGATCTTCATTTGTGTTTCTGTTACTCAGAATTCAACATTGTTGTATTATTCTCTTAGTTTTGCTTTTTTTTCTCTTTGTTGCATTTATTTTGCTTATTGGACGAGCAAAAACTAGATTACCTATTATCAGGATGATGTAGAGAGGATTACTGTTCATGTAGTGTAGGGGCTGGACTTGGGTCATGGGATTATAAATATAGAGCTGGAAAGCACCTTAAAAGCCATCTAGTTCAACCCCTTTGTTTTAAAGGTGAGGGCTAGGGAGGTTAAATGACTTGCTCAATGTCACACAGACAATAAGCATAGAGATAGAACTGCTGGGTCCTACCAGATGACCTACCAGGTTCTCTGACTACAGGGCTAGTGTTTCTCTGTGCCACACTGCCTTATTTGAGCATTCTTTCCAGTTCTGAGATTCTCTGAAGTATTCATTAATTACCTGTTCTTGTGCATACAACTGACATGAATTAAAAGCTAGAGTCAGTTTCTGGGTAATTAATAATCAGTTTATTAATTAGGCTAGCTGATAATCAGTAGACTGATGGTCAGTGGTTTCCAAAGACAAAGCCATGGAGATCCCTGAATGCTTAAATATGTTTGGAAAAGAAGATGCCCCTGAAAGGTGAAAACCCTGATTGGTGAGCAATTAATGAGAGAGTGGACATATTAATGAGGAGATGGGCTAAAAATCTTCAGTTCCTCCCACTGAGAACTTGACTTGATCATGAGACTCAGCCTCCTTCAGCAGTCTGGATGAAGGAATCCATCTCTATCCAGACTACTCTGGTTGATTTTCTCCTTAATGAACTGAGTTCCCCTAGACTGCAATGGAGGGATATAGTGGTTTAGGGCTGGAATGCACCTAGATTAGATTCTGTAGATCATTCTAAATAGAAGTAAGGTCCCCTATTTGGGTGGGATCTACTCAAGATCATTGAGTGGGCACCCTGAGCATTGGGCCAATCTCATTGTCAGCCTTGTCCTTCAGAGGCTGGCTGAATGACCTACAAGGGTTAGTCCCTGAATGAGGAAATAGAAAGGAAAAAAACCCTTAATCCTAATTTAATAATTGGTTATTAATATTATAGAAAAATTATCATTTCTCTCACTGCTGACATCTAACAATATCTTTTTTATGGTCTCAGCCCTCAGTAACTTTTGTTTTAAACAGGGAAATTGGACATGTGCCCAACAGTAAAAAACAGTCAAAGTCTGGGCCATATTCCATTCTCAAATGATCAGTTCAGACAAATGCTACATTCAGGTGAAAGAGAGAGAGATCATTTGTCTGAATTAGCATATTCAGGGAAAGTTTCATGGGATTAATGGGATTTGAACTGGGTCTTGATGGGCAAGCTTTAAGTTTGGGATAATGGTACAACCCATTACACAGAGTATAGCATATGGAATACAAAAATAGAAAAGGCTTGTTCTGTTCTGGTGAGTTAGATCAGCCTGGCTACAATGGAGAATTTCTATAGGGAAATAATGAGAGAGAATTCTTAAAAAGTAGGAATTCTGAGGCCAAAAATGAAGTTGAATTGGCATTTTATTATGTTGTCCATGGGAAATCAATGCCTGCAAATTTCAGTGAATTGTAGAAGCCAAGAATAGTAGAAAAGGTCATACACCTGAAGTATGATGCAGTTGACCACAATGAAGAGAACAAAATATTGTTTTTATAATGTGTCATATATATATGTGTAGACACACACACACACACACACACACACACACACACACACACAGAGTATAATGACTCTTGTCCCCTGAGCAAAGAAAGATGAGAAAATTTGCCATTCTTCCTTTCATTGAAAAGATGACTGTGAGTATTGAACACTCTAAGTGTTGTCACACGTAGCCAATGTGTTCATTTTGCTGATTTAAAAAATAAATCTGAGACAGTTTGAGTGGTCCTGACTGTTGATTTGCTATAGGGAGATCTATATCTACCCACACTTGACTCATCCCGTTGCTTTGTCCAGTCTATAGAAAGCACTAAATTCTCAATTAAGGGGTATGGTATATATTTTGGCCACAACATGGCCAGTCATGGCCATGTCTGGTATCTTGGAGGCTTTGCCAAAGCCTACAATCTTCCTTATAGTACCTCACAGGATTTCTTTGTATCCCCAACACTTAGCATAGTTCCTGGTGCAAATTAAGTACTTAATAAATTCTAGGTGATTAAGTCACAGGATTTCACTGTCTTGCCCTCCTCACTCCAACCTTGAGTTCCATGTCTATGCCTCCAAATGATTTCAAAACAAAATAAAACAGGAAAAGCTCTTATCCCTACTCTCTAACCTCATCTTGCTTGTGGTATGTGTGTGGGGGAAGTGTGAGGGCCTTTTCATATTTATGACTGATTGACCCAATTCATCAGCAGTTAGATGGTTTGCTTTTTAATGACCATGTGCTTTTTAAAATACAAGGTAGCTATGAAAATGTAGCATAATAAAACTAATGAAGCTTTTGAAAAGCAGACTGCGGTAAAACTTCTGTAAATGATTGATTTCTTCTTTCCCCTACAGCTTACACATATGGAAAAAGAATAAAGGGAAAGAATAGCTGATTTTAGAACTTAATCAAGGCTGCTTTGGAAACCCTATGATAAAAGGCAGGGGAGCGCATGCTGGAGGCTGACACAATCTTATACAATTGGAAATTTCATAGCATGGCCGGATCTGTCATTGCTCCCTCAAATGATTCTTTGGAGTGGTTTTAGTTATCACTTTGCTCTCTCTAGCTTTTCCTTGTCAATGGGGTTTTGGACCAGGTATACTGTAGTTCTACATTGACTCAATCAATCACCTAGTATTTATTAAGTATTTAATATGTACTGGGAACTATGCTGTGTGTTGGTGATACAAAGAAAAGCAAAAACAAATTTTTTGATGGTCTTAAGAAGCTCACAATCTAATTGCAAACAACAATGTACAAACAAGATATATGTGGGATAAATTGCAGATAATTTTACAGGGAAAGCAATAAGATTAAGATAGGCTTCTTGGAGAAGGTGGAACTTTAGCTTTGATTTGAAGAAAGCCAGAGAAGATGCAAGATAGATGTGAAGAGGAAGTGTTCCAGGTATGTGGGACAGCCATGAAAATGGTCAGTCAGGAGAGGGAGTGTTATGTGTGAAGAAGAGCAAGGAGGCCAGTGTTATTGGATCAAAGAGTATGTGGAGGAAATAAGATACAAGAAGACTGAAGAGTAGGAAAGGGCCAGGTTATGAAGGGCTTTAAAAGCCAAACAAAGGAGTTTGTATTTGATCCAGGTTGGGAGCCTGGGTAAGTGGGAGGGCAGCAGTACCTGTGGTAGTAATATGGAAATTAAGAAGAAGGAAGGATTTGGTGGGAAAGATAATGAGTTCATTTTTGTATATGTTGAATATAAAATAATGTTTACATGACATCCAGTTTGAGAGGCAGTGAAAATGCAGTTTAGACATCAGGAGAGAGGTCAGACAAGTAGATCTGATTGTCATCTGCATACAGATGATGATTGAATCCGGAGGAACTGATGAGATCATAAGTAAAATGTTATAGAGAGAAAAGAGAAAAAGAACTTAGGCCAGAGTCTTTAGGGACACTCATAATTAGTGGATATGATGTGTATGAAGATCCAGCAAAGAAGACAGAAGGAATGGTTAGCTAGGTAGGAGGAGAACTAAGAAAGAGTAATGTCATGACAATATCAACAAGAAGTTGATGATTGACAGTGTTAATGGCTGCAGAGAGGTGAAGAAGGCTGGGGATTCAGAAAAGGCTATTAGATTTGTCAGTTAAGATATCATTGCAAACTTTGGAAAGAACAGTTTCCATGGTTTGAGGTCAGAAAAAGGAATGTAAAGGGTTAAGAAGAAAATGAGAGGAGAGAAAATGGACGCATGAATTACAGAATGCATTCTCAAGGATCTTGGCCACAAAAGCAAGGAGTGATATGGGATGATACCTAGTGGGAGTGAAAGGAGATCAAGTGAGAGTTTGTTTGAGGATGAGTGAGACAAGGGAATGTTTGTATGCAGTAGAAAAGCAGCCAGTAGACAGGAAGAGATTGAAGATAAGTGAAAGAATGGTAGTGATAATGAGGTCAGTCTACTGAAGAAAATGGGATGGAATGGAACCATTTGTGCATGTAGAGGGGCTTGCCTTGGTAAGAAGGGCCACCTCTTCATGTGAGACAAGAGCAGGGGAGGAAATACTGGCAAAAGGCATTTTGATGTTAGATGAGGAACAGGGGAAAAGAGAGAGCTTTCAGTGAATGACCTCAGTTTTTTCAGTGAAATATGAGGCAAGGCTCTCAGCTGAGAGGGTGCAGAAGAGCAGCTGGGGGAATTTTGTGGAGGGACAAAAGTTTTGGAAGAGCTGCTGTGGTGAGTGGAATAGTAGATCAATTAGGGAGATGTAAAAGAATTGCTTTTCAACAGTGAGGTCTTAGTTGAGATTTTGTGTCATAAATTTGTTATAAGCCTTTGTGGGGATTATAAGTGCCCAGCCTGCAAGAAAGACCAGTGAGGCAGAGATCTGAGCCAAGGTCACTTTACTAAAGGGCCCATGGACTCCTCTAATGAAGTAGATCTCAGATCTTCCTCACAGTTTGAGACGCTCCCTTCTTCCAGGACTTTATTTTTATTTTCCATTTGGCCCATTTTATTTTTTAGGGAGTTATTTCATTTAGTGTACTTCCCCGCCCCCATCTTGTCAACTGTATTTTTAAAGGAATTGTTCAATTTTTCTTCTACCTCCCTTATTTAACTTTTAAAATCCTCTTTGAGCTCTTCTAAGAAGGCTTTTCAGGCTTGAGACCAGTTCATATTCCCCTCTGAGGTTTCAGATGTGGGTATTGACAATGTTATCCTCTCCTGAATTTGTGTTTCGATCTTCCCTGTAACCAAGATACTTCTCTATGGTCATTGTTTTTCTATGTCGGTTTTTGCTCATGTTTGCTTTTTTTCTGGCTTTTAAAGTTGATCTTTGCTTCTGGGGCACAGGGGGCACTGTCCCAGGCTCCTTGTGCTGGGGGGAGGGGTAGAGGCCTAGTTACTGGTTTGCTGAGGTGGGGCTTGCCACTGTCTTGCTGGGATGCTTCCTTTCCTATAGTGGTCCTCTTCAGCCACAGCAAGAGGGTCCTTTCCCATTAATTCCCCTAGCCACAGGAGCTAAAAGACTTATATCTAGTCTTTCTGTTGACTCTACTATTTCAGGATTTTTCCTGGGGCAATATTCTCTGGGTTTTTCAAGGTCAAAAGGGAGGGTGAGAGCTACTTATTGCTCATTCCACCATCTTGGCTTCCGCAAGTCTAAAAAGGTGACTTTCAAACATTCAGTCTGTGGGATAATAGCTCCAGGAGCAGCCGCTACTGGTGCTGGTTCAGTCACTCCCAAGGCCTGTTTCTGGTTTGCTGGTGCTGGCGTTGAATTGGTATGCCATGCAGCCCTGCGCTGGACTATGCTTCTCTCTCACCCAATTCTGATAGGCCCCTCCCACTGACCTACTAAGTTGTCTCTGTGGGCTAAGAAAACTGGAAACTGCCACTGCTCTTGGTGATTCAGTACCCCCAGACCTGCTCTGGCTTTGCTTAGGCTGGATCTGCACTGCACCCTGCAGGCTGGATGCTCCTCTCTCAAGCCAGTGTAACAGACCTTTCCTGTCGACCTTCCAGGTTGTCTTGGGCTGGAAATCTGCCTCACTCTGTCTCTTTGAGCCACTCTAGAATTTGTTCAGAGTCACTTTTTAGAGGTATTTGAAGAGATTTGAGTGAGAGCTTAGGTGAATCCCTGCTTTTACTCTACCATCTTGGCTCCTACCCCAGGGCTTTATTTTTATAAGGCTTGATATCAGTTTCATACTTGAACATTCTAGAGGGGCTATACAAAGTACAGAATCCCTTTGGTTGATAGACCTTGCTTAGTGTGCCAAAAATGATCCATTAGCTAGAAATGGTATGTTAGCAAGCATGGGGCATCTCCACTCGCTAAGTGGTCATAAGATAGTCACTTCCTCATGTTGGACAAGAGAAAATGGTCTGGAGGTAGGAAAATAAAATGGGGGACTTCCCATGTAATTAATTGAGTCACCTCTGCCACACTGAACTTGGTCACCATAACAGGGGAAAACAAGGGTAGAGGTCCTCTGGTTGGCTTCCTATGATTAAGTGAGTGAACTTAAAATCTGCAGTTCACAGCTCTGAGGCCTAATGTACAGAACTTATAATCACTACCCGTATAGAATCATATCAAACTGATATGATTGGTATAGAGGATGGTTCAAATGAATTAATTCTTGCTGCTTGTCAGCACAATGTTTATAGCGTGTGATTTTCACTAGCTTTGTCCAGTATCACATGAGAAAGAGTGAAGGTATTGGATGGGGGGAGTAATCCAAGGCTGGGGTTAGGACAAGATTTTTGTTAGAGGCAAGGGACTTGAGAAAAGGACAGTATAGAGTTCAGTGGGTTCACCAAAGGTTCAAGATGGAGAAGGAAACAGAAAGTAGTCAGTGCAAGGGTGATCATCTGGAAAAGATCACAGCATTTAGAAGGAGGATTTAGAAGTTGTAGTGAAGACAAAGAATAGGGTTTGGAGTTACAAGGCTAAGGGAAAGGTGGAATGGTAATAGATTATGATCAAATAAAAGGAATTTTAAAAATCACAACATAGATGTGGAATATTAGTGGATGATGATAAGATCAAGAATATGATCTTGTCATCTTTGTATATGGCAGAGATGGGTTGAGGACAAGGTCATAGGAGATGAGTAAAATGAGGAACTGGGAGGTTAGATTGTTTGAGGGAGTAACAATATGATGTCGAAGTCCCCTGGTACGATAGCTGGAGTTAGGGAGAAGATCAAGACCATAAACCAGACATTAATTCATCAAGGAAGGAAGGAGATTGCTCTTGAGGTCTGTAGATCATAACCACCAAAATCTTGATTGGGTAATAATTATGAATTGAATAAAATTTTACCAAAGATGACAGTAGGAGAGCCTGGAAGTAGCAATGGTGAGCAAGGAGTCTTCCAACTCCTTCACCATAGCTAGTGAATCTGGGGTTTCAGTGAGCATACAACAGTACTGGGAAGGTAGGCAGGGAAGCTGCGTCATCAGGAGGAAGTGAAGTCTCAGTGAATGAAAGAAGATGAAAGGAGCAAGAAAGGGAAAAGATATGAAGTGAAAGCTAGTTTATTACCTGTGGATCACGTAGTTCTCAGAACACAGTGGAAAGATTGGGTAGTTTTAAAGTTGGATTTTGAATGTGGGGGTTGAAAGGGATGGAAGTAAATGAGGGTTGGAGAATGGAGTTTGAACAATGGCATCTGGTGGTTTAGAATCCCTGAGATGGGGTGCGAGTTCCTGAGGTCTGAATTCAGGTAAGGTTTTGACCTTGGTTAGAGTTTGTCATAGGTCATGTGTGTGTGTGACTGGAAAGCAGGAGAAAGGGGGGAAGAATGGAAGGTGTCCAGATGGGGAGCAGGGCAATTTCTGTGGAGCTTTAGGTGGCCAGAAGAGGTGATTAGAGAAATCTGAGAATGATTGAGTGACTGCTTAAGGAGGCAGTCTTAGGCAAAGTAATTTCCAATTCCTTGAAAGGAAAAGAAAGAAGTCTAATGGTTGTGACAGTGTCTTTCTCCAGTCAAAATGAAATAGCTCAAGGGGGCAGCTAGGTGGTGCAGTGGATAGTACCCCAGTCCTGAAGTCAGGAGGACCCGAGTTCAAATCCAGCCTCAGACCAAACACTTGACACTTTACTAGCTGTGTGACCCTGGGCAAGTCACTTAATCCCAATTGCCTTAAAAAAAAAGAGAGATAGCTCATGGGCAGTTTTAAAGTCCCAATCCAAAAATTTCTCCCTCCTAATTTCTCACTTGAGCTTCTCTCTTAACCTTTGTGGGGGATGTAGTATAGGGGAATGGTCTCAGGGGTCTCCATAGCTAAAGCATGAGGAGGGAAAAGAGTTGTCTCTTTCCTCACTTCCCATCTCCCATCTGATTCCTCTTATTCCCAGACAAAATTGGTACCTTACAATATAGTGTTGTTTTTACTTGAAACATTACAATTTGAGTTATTTTCTGGTTCAGCTCATTTTGCTTCAGCTCTGATTACCTTCTGCTACTCCTAACTGCAGCCACTTTGAAGGAAAGAAATAGAGTTTTCAGTGGGATTTCTAGGTTTTCAACTCTAGCCACTGAGAAGGAAAGAAGCGCAGATGTGGGACCATGCATTTATGAAGCAGCCTAGGGGCAGGGTGGGAATTTTGGGGACTGCATATGAAAACCCTCTTACTTTTTGCGTGGCCTCATGCTGTTTTGAATGGGCGATGTGTGCATATTCAGAATGCAAACTTAAAGAACAAAAACATGCTGTTATATTTGCTATACTCCTTCCCCCCCCCCTTTTCTTCTTGGCTAGACAATTGGGGTTAAGTGACTTGCCTACGGTCAAACAGCTAGTAAGTGTCAAGTGTCTGGTCTGAGACCAGATTTGAACTCAGGTCCTCCTGATTCTAGGGCTGGTGCTCTATTCAGTGCACCACCTAGCTGCCCCTCTCCCTCTTTTTTTTTAAACCAGGTTTTCCCATAGTCTTTTGGGATACTGCAAAGTTTTTCCATGTAGAAGTCTTCAAAACCAAATCTTTATACTGTGCAAAACTTGCTATTACCTGGTGAAGTATTTTTAAATGAATAAAAACATGCCGACTCTAAACAGAGAGACTTAGTTGAATTTTAAGATGATCATCGTTAAATTTCTATGGGATTTTGATCAGAAAAGTATATTTTGTTACATATGCAATTCAGGATTTGAATATACCAGTGTATCTATTTACCAACACATTATTAATTTTTTTCTTTTCTTTGCTGGAGCACCACAGTTATAGAGCTCTTATTTCCCATTTGGGACTGATGAAATTAGGTTATGATTTAAGTTTTGAAGAGTGAGTGTATGACTATGTGTTTAAGATTTTGGATAGGAGATTGTTTTTTTTAACTCAGTGTATCAATATAATAGGCTTTATGAGATAAAAGAAGATGTGATTACTTATGATGAAGACTGATGCTGAATTTGATTTTTTTTTCCAGGAATAGTTTTTTCTCTAGTCGAGGAATAACAGATGATATTGGTGCCACAAGCTATATGAAGTTGAACCTGAGTGCTGGAAATGTAGATTTGTATGAAAAACTCTACAACAGGTAGACAGACCCTCTACCACAGTGTTTTTTTTTCTTCTTTGAAAAATGCCATGTATGGACAGCTAGGAAATGCAAAAAATAATATGTAGAAATTGTATGATGCAATTTCCTTTATGGATAAACCGATTATTAGGAGAATATTGGTGTTTAACTAGGTCTGATCTGAGAAGCTATTCATTTAATTGTTTTAGCTTATCTTACATTTACACTTACTCCCTGTCAAGCCTCTTCTTCAAATTAAGTAATGGCCAAATAATTCACATTTATAAAGGGCTTCACAATCATCATACTTTAGTCGTTAAAACATTCATTTAGTCCATATAACAGCCTTATGAGTTTGACTGTACATAATAGAAATTTTATCATTTCACAAATGATGAAAATGAGGCTCAGTGACCTGCTAAAGGACTTCTTGCTATTAAGTGGCCCTGATTTACACCTTAAATTTAGATCATCTGAACCAAATTCATGTGCTCTTTCTTCTTCAGTATTCTGCCTTGCCTAGGGAAAAATTCTTTTCACAATAGCTAAAAAAGGGTAATATTTAAATACCACTTAATATGTGTCTGACACTATGCTAAGAGCTTTAGAGGTATCTCATTTGATCCTTGTAAGTGGTATTATCCCCAGTTTACAGAAAAAAGAAACTAAGGCACACAGATTAAGTGACTTGCCTAGGGTCACACAACTAGTAATAATAATAACAATTAGCATTTATATAGCACCTACTACATGCTGAGCACTGTGCTAAGAGTTTTACAATTATTATTCCATTTGATCCTCACAACAGCCCTACTAAGTAGGTACATTTATCCTGTTATACAGAAGAGGAAACTGAGGCAGACAGGTTAAGTGACTTGCCTAGGGTCATATAGCTAGAAAGTGTCTGAGGCTAGATTTTGAACTTAGGTCTTCCCGACTCCAGGTTCAGTGCTCTAAAATTGTTAATACCATAATAAGTTGTGAATTTAAGTGTGCTATTGTTACAGTAAAGAAACTAGAACTCCAGAAGGCAAGTGTACAAAGGACGGTTTGGTAGAATAGAAAGTTGCTGAATTCAGACTTAAAGTTTCTGGGTTTATTTCCAAGATTGGCAGCAAAATCAGTTCACCTCTCTGGGCCTCATTTTCCTCCTTTGTAAGATGTGGTGGTTGGACTAGATGACAGCTGATCTCTTTCAGATCTAAATCTATGTTCTTATAGTTATCCTGGTTAATTTTTAACCAGGATGGTGAACTGAGTTCCCTTAAGCCCTAATATGCTTTGAAATAGATATTGCCCTACTTAACTTGGAAGAAGTAATTTTATATTTCTGTAAGTTGTATGTCCTTAATGAGGAGAAGGATAATTTTTTTTCCAAACAAAAAGGGTATTCCCTCTTGAATGTGGCTTTAAAAATAAAACAAAACATTTTCTGCTTTTTATGAACCTTATTTACTCCCTAATTCATTTTGTTTCTATGAGAGTTACTACTGATTTTAGCTAGCCAGTTGCTAGCTTTTGGTGGTAAGTATCCTAATTCTCCTTTATGATGAGTGGAAAACTTGGGAGTGGGGCTGTGTATCAATCTGGATTCCTAGTTCTATCTTACACAGAAAATAAATAAGACTAGCATAGCCTTGTGGAAAGTAATATGCACATGTCCTAGTATGTCCATTTATAAAAGCCTGATTTATTAGGTTACACATCTAACAAACAAAGCACAATTGGTGGACTAGTTATAAGCTATGAGTGTCTGCCTACCCTGGTCACACAGTCAGTTTCTGCAGGCAAGAAAAATCAATTCAGGGAGGGGAAGGGAAAGAAGAGAGGAGAGAAACTGAAAGAGATCTTTTTACACAAGTCCATTGTTATGCAACATTCATCCCTCATTGATATAGCTAGAGTCTATCTACTGTGACTTTAAAATAATATCTGTTAAACTAATCTCATTAAATTTTAGAGTTTCTTACTTTCTTCAAACAGAATTCTTTACTTCTCCTTATTCCCCAGCATGGAGGAATTGGTCATTCTTTCTCATCTGAAAGCAGGCATATTGGCCTCCCAAGTATATAATTCTGATTGTGTTTTATTTTCCTCCAAGAAAAATGATTGATTTTATTCTTTACATTTAGGAATGACATCAACATTATGAGCACGACTGCTTGAAAATAAATGTCTTCTTTGAGGAATAGTACAAGAGGACCCTAGAACCTAGTACTTTCATTTGAGTAATTTCTTATAAATGAGAAATATTTTTTTTCTATTTCATCTTGCTTATTCTTGAGAGTTAAGAAAGAGAATATTTGAAAGGATAACAATTTTCTTAAATATTCTGGAAATGATATTCATAATTTATAACAACCATTTTTGTTCTTCTTCCCTAGTAATGTCTGTTTCTCAAAAATGGTGGTATCTCTCCGATGCATAGGTTAGTACTTTTAATTTTCTTTTTCCTGGGATAGAATGTCATACTAATTATATCTAATACTTCTTAGAAACTCTCCTACCAAAATAATGTATTGGAAAATAGCATAATTGAAAATAGTCCTAGAAAGTAAGGCATCAGTAGCAACTCAGGAAGCCCTCTTGAATCATAGAATTTCAGTCTGTGCATTAAAGAAGATCAAAGGGAAACAGCATCCTAGACACCCAACATCTCTCAGGTGCAGTTTGCCACTGTACCTTTTTTGAGTTAAAAGAGTGAGGTGGTCAAACATCTACTTTAGGAAGATTACTTTGGTAGCAGTCTGGAGTATAGAGGGGAAGAGGGAAAGATGGTAGAAACAGAGATACCAGTTAGTAGGCTGTTTCTATAGTCCAGGCAAGAGATAGTGTTGAAATAGAGTGATCTCTGTGTGAGTGGAAATAATGTAGATAAGAGATATTGGCAAGGTAGAATTGGTAAGAATTGGCCACTGATTGGATAGGGATAATGTTGAAGATGAGGGAAGACTGAAGGATGGCTCTGAGATTGTGAATCTAGATGACTGGAAGGATGGAGGTACCCCAAACACAAATTGAAAATTAAGAGGATGGAGCATTTAGAGACTGTAATGTAATACAAAGAACAATGGATTTAGGAGGCAAAAAGCAAGGAGATTTGCCCTACTACGAGTTACCTCATTTGAAATAAATGATACCTCACATTTTAGGGCAGCAAGATGGCATAGTGAATAAAGAGCTAACCCTTGAATCATCCTGGAATCAGGAAGAGTTGAATTCAAATCTGGCCCCAGACACTTACTATCTGTGTGACCCTGGGCAAGTTATTTAACCTTCTTTGCCTAAGTTCCTCATCTGTAAAATGAGCTAGAGAAGAAAATGGCAAACCACTTTTGCCAAGAAAATCTCAAATGAGGTCACAGAGTCAGACTTGACCAAATAACAACAAAAACCACCTCACACTTTATTATGCTCTGGGATTTGTGAAATGTGGATGTTTGTTCTGTAAGGTTGATAATGCAACAATCAGTATTCCCATTTTACGAATGAGGAAGCTCTGGCTTGGGGGGTTAATAGTTACCACAGTGTGGATGCTTGCCTGATAGACAATGTACTAGAGAATCACAGTCATTCATTTATATTAGTATTTTTCGTATGGGGTTCACAAGAGACTGTTGAGATACTGTGATGGAGGTCCTTGTAGGTTCCACACTCGTTCTCTAGTACACATAGAGAAGAATTGTCATTAAGATGATTGAGCAGGTGCTGGATTACGAGCTGATATAGACTAGAAGGAAAACTTTGACACAACAAAGTACAGCCTTATGTTCTGTGACGTAGTTGAAGCATTTTAGTGCAATAGCTTGAAATACTTGAATCAGAGATAAGGTAAATAATTGAGAAAAGGTAGTAAGGAGAGATATACACAGCTTTTTTATTTAATTTTTAAAAATTATTTATTTTTGGTTGTCAGCATTTATTCCCATAAGCTTTTGAGTTTTAAATTTTTCTCCCCTCCCTCTCCAAGATGGCATGGAATCTGATAGAGGCTCTTTTAAACATATTTTCACATTAGTCATGTTGTAAGGAAGAATTGGAACCACAAGAAAGAGGAAACAAAACAAAACAGAAGAAAAAAATAGCAAATAGCATGTTTTAATCTGCATTCAAACTCCACAGTTATTTCTCTTGATGTGGATAGCATTTTCCATCATGAGACTTTTGGAGATGTCTGAGATCCTTGCATTGCTGAGAAGAGCTGAGTCTATCAAAGTTAATCATCGAACAATGTGGCTGTTACTTACACTCAGCTTTATTCCATCTATTTGTTTGAGTAACAGGTAGCTGTAAGAGAACAAAGAACAGAGCATTGAGCACACAAGTTTGGGCTTTCTGCATGCTTTGAAAAGTCCAGGTGTCATATTTAACAATAAATAAATACACAATAAATAAATTCATCAAAGCCAGTATTTTCATTGGATGTCTATTGAAAGTAGTAATGGCTTTATTTCAGACCAAGAAATAGATTGGTTTAGGTCAGAAGAAGGTCAGAGATGGAGTGAACACACAATTCCTATTCCAGGCAAAGTGAAAAGTCACTTTTTCATAAAAGCTTCACTGATTCCCTATTATTTATAGGATAAAATACAAACTCCTCATGGAATTTAAGTTCTTATTACAATCTGACTCCAACCTACTTTGTTATCTTTATTTCACACTATTTCCTTTCATGTCTGATGCATTCTAGAAAACTGGACTATGAGCTGTTTTCTGATTTCATCCCGAATTCTCTCCTCCTTGTTCATGTAAATCAGAGGTTCCCATACTTATTTGACCAACTGTCCCCTTTTAAAAAACAAATTACTCAGCACCCTCCTGGAAATCTACTTTCTTTAACCCTTTAACTTTTTTTTTTTGAAATTTGCATCATTTAAAAAAATGTAAAATATTTTTTTAAAAAATGACACATCTTAAATTCAATAATTTATTGTAAGTTTGAGTTTTTTTCCTGAATTGAAATTTTGACAATGCAATATTGTGTCATGTAACTGTATAGTATTGTATTGTAAACAAGTCATTACGTACACATATTCCTGCCAATACATGCTAGATATCCCAACAGTGTGTGCCATGCTTACCTGACAACACTTGCTTGTTAAGTCCTGTTGGCAGACTTGACCACTGATTGGCTATAACTTGCATTTTATGTGTTTATTTGGAAAATAATGTAATCACTACGACTTTAATTCTATTACACAACAGATGAAACTTATGGATGTTTTTCAAATTTTTCTTCTCTTCTCTTCTTTCCTTATGCTTCCATCACCTCCTTATTTTTATTCAACACCCCCAATTGCACCTGAGGCTACTACCCTCACCATCATTCCAGAGCCTCCCAGGGGGCAGTGTTGCCCACTTTGTAAATCTCTGATGTAGATCCATACCTTTAAACATTCTCTCTTTAGCTTTTCAAATGTTTGAAAGAAGGAAACAGGTTACATAAATCTATCTGTCCACCTTCATCTTTACTAAAACAAAAATGCTATTATGAAAAATCACAGTCAGGTCTGTGGAACTGTTTTTGTTGGTGCTTAAGGTTCATAAATGTACTGGGTGGTTTATATTTTAATTTTTGCCTTTAGAATGTGGCACAATGACAAAGGTGAATCGATTGAACAGGATTGTAGGTGGGACAAATGCTGCTCCAGGGGAATGGCCATGGCAAGTCAGCCTTCATGTCCAAGGTGTCCATGTCTGTGGTGGTTCTATCATTACTCCTGAGTGGATTGTAACAGCAGCTCATTGTGTGGAAGAGTAAGTATTTAATCAGTCATTCTGAGGAGCTCTTGTATTCCCATCACTTTCTCTCCCTGTTTCAGCTGTGTGTTCACTCAGAATTGTCAAAAGAGGATCAGAACTGTAATTCTTGGATTGGCTGAAGTTGTGTTCATACTCATTAAGGTATTTAAGGAAGAGAAATTTGCTTTGTACTTGATCTGGAAGAAACAAAACTTGTGAATTCAATTATTTTATTTATTTTTTCCTCAAGAGTTTGTTTAACTTGTTATAGCTTTAGAATGGCCTTCCTTAGTGCTCAGTGACTGATATAAAATTATAGAGCTGGAAAGGATTTAGAAATTCAGCAACCATTCATTGAGCCCGTAAGACTCACAAATGAAAAAAAAAATTTAGGCCCCAGAGAACTTACCATTTTATTGGAGGTGAGGAAATGTAGCATATAGGCAGAGAAGTAAATATAAGGTAATTTGAGGAGGAAAAGAGCACAAACACCTGAAACCTCTCATTTTCCTTTGCCAACTTTGTTAGTTTTATGGATTTGAAGTGAAACCAGAGCCTGAATTGTTTTAATTCATATTTGTCTAATTATTAGTGATTTGGAGGATTTGTATTTTTTTCAAATGACTCTTGGCAGCTTAAATTTCTTTGAAAACTGCCTGTTCAAAATCATTATTTTTATTAATCAAGGAATGGATTTTTTTTCTTATAAATTTGAATTTTTAAAAAAACTCATCAAAGCAAGACTTTTGTCAGAGAAATTTTGCTGCTATGATTTTTTCCAGTGTATTTTCCTTCTCTTTTTATCTGTATATATTGTGTGTGTGTGTGTGTGTGTGTGTGTGTATGTGTGAAATTCTTTTAATTTCATGCAATCAAAATATAAAATAAAAACATAAAGATTTTCTTGGGAAGCCTGTCCCAGTTCCCTTTAATTCTAGTGCCTTCCTTCCATTGATTATTGAGTTTATTCTATATGTAATTTGTTAGTATATAGTTGTTTGAATGTTGTCCTTCTCCTTAGACTGTGGGCTCCTTGATGGCATGGACTTATTTCTTTGTATCCTCAACAGTTAGCACAGTGCTTGGCATATTGTTGTCAGTGTTGAGTTATTTCAATTGTGTCAGACTCTCTGTGACCTTATTTGGGATTTTTTTTGGCAAAGACACTGGAGTGGTTTTCCATTTCCTTTTCTGGCTCATATTACAGATGAGGAACTGAAGCAATCAGGGTTAAATGACTTGCTCAGGGCAGCTAATAAGTGTCTGAGGCCAGATTTGAACTCTGGTCCTCCTGACTCCAGGGCCAGAGCTTTATGTTCTGCACCACCTTGCTGCCCAATGCTTGGCACATAGTAATCAATAAATGTTTATAGACTGACTGACCACTCATTTATTGATCTGTTTTTAAAATCAGCACCAAATTGTTTTAATGATTACTGCTGTGTAGTATAATTTGTGATTTGGCATTGTTATGCTCTCCCTTCATTTCTGTATCTTTTCATTAATTTATCTTGAGATTCTTGATCCTTTTTTTCTTCCACGTTAAGTATTCCTTTGGTAGCTGTTATCAGTTGATTGGTATGGTGTTGAATAAGCAAAGTATTGTATGTTATGTTGTCATTTTTATTATATTGGCTTATCCTACCCATTAGTACTTAATATTTTACCAATTATTTAGGCCTGTTTTTATTTGTGTAAATAGTTGTTTTTGGCTGCATTGTGTATATTTTATTTATGTATTGGAAAATATTTTATATATCCTTAATAATTTTAAATGGAATTTAAAAAATTTATTTTAAATTGCATCATTATTAAACAACTACCTTGATAAAGACCCATGCTACCCTCAAAGGATCTCCTATTTATTCTCTCCTTAGATTATACAGAAATCCCCATCTGCCTTTTTAAAACATTGTTTTACTTAATACTTTAATAAAAACAATCTTATAAGCTGTGTCTTTTTTGCATGTTGTCTCCCCCATTAGAGTGTGAGCTTCTTGAGGGCAGGCAGGGACTGTTTTTGCCATTATTTGAATCCCAAATCCTTAGTAAAGTGCTTAGCACTAATACTTGTTAAATACAAAGGCCCTACTTTATAGATTAAAGAGTCACTTTTTGACAAAATCTTATGGGAAAATTGGACAGTAGTATAGAAGAAATAAGATTTATTCTAATATCTTACAAATATACAAAGTGTCTCCAATATTAAATGTCATATCATAAACAAATTAGAAAAAGTTAGAAAAAAAATTACCGTCAGATCAATGAATAGGATAAAAATTCTTGATCATGAGAAGGAAAAAAATGGATAATTTTGATTGTATAACATTTTTTAAGTTTTTGCACAAACTTTTAAAGGGAAAAATTATTTGGGAAAAATCTTTGCATTAAATTTCTCTGATAAAGGTCTTATTTCTTTTTTTTAAATTAATTATTTGTTTTTGGCTTTCAGCATTCAGTTTTATAAGATTTTGAGTACTAAATTTTCTCCCCTCTCTTCTCTAAGATAGCATGCAATCTGATATAATACATACATGTACAATTATATTAAACATATTTCCACATTAGTCACATTGTAAAGAAGAATCAAAATCAGTGGGAAAAAACCATGAGAAAGAAAAAAACAACAAAAAAGAGAAAATGGTATGCTTCAATTGCATTCAGACTCCATAATTCTTTCTCTGGATGTGGATATGGATAGCATTTTCCATCACGGGTCTTTTGGAATTGTCTTAGATCATTGCATTGCTGAGAAGAGCTAAGTCTATCAAAGTTGGTAATTGAACAATATTGCTATTACTGTGTACAGTGTTGCTTCTGGTTTTGCTCACTTCACTCAGCATCAGTTCATGTAAGTCTTTCCAGATGCATGCTCATCATTTCTTATGGAACAATAGTATTTTATTATATTCATATACCACAACTTGTTCAGCTATTCCCCAACTGATGGGCAACCCCTCAATTTCCAATTTTTTTTTACCATCACACAAAGATCTACTATAAATATTTTGTACGTGTGGGTCCTTTTCCCATTTTTATGATCTCTTTGGGATACAGACCTAGAAGTGGTATTGCTGAACAAAGGGTATGCACAGTTTTATAGCCCTTTGGGCTAAAGGTCTTATTTCCAAGAGTGATTAAGAACTGATTAAAATTTATAATAAAAATAGCCAATCCCTAATGGATAAATAGTCTTTATATGTGAAAAAAACAGGTCCCAAGGGAAGAAACCTGATCTATGTATAGCCGTATTTTTTTTTAAATGTTCCAAATAAGTTAATTGGAGGAAGTCAAATGACTAATAATTTCACATCAGTCCATTAGACTGAAACACGCCATCCATTACAGATGATGGATTTATAATGCAAAATGAGATTTTTTTTTTTGTAAATAGCCTTTGAGAGAATGTTTTGGTTGACTGTGTATATTTACTGCAATAAATTTGTTTTTATTTTTTTTTTCAATTGGTGTGAGGGTGGGAATGGGAGGGAGAGAAAATAGATACCTCTTAACTGAAAAAAAAAGAGAGGCAGAAAGGGATGCTACAGATGGAAATGTTTCATGTACTTTCAGATGAAGTATTATTAGTTTTATTTAACTGTTTTACTTTGTTATCAGAGACCTCTCATGAAGTAGATGTAATCTGTAAATGTAAAAAACAAAATACATCCATAGTACTTTAAAAAATACAAGCACAGCATTCTTGATAAAAGACATTGCACAGTTTCCCCTATTTTCCATACTAGGTGTGGTTTTTGTGTGATTAATTTGTTTTAAATAGTTGTAAATGTTTAAATCTCTTCCCTAAGGACTTGGATTAAACTTTTACAGCTAGTTATCGTCTCTAAATAACTTGACCACCCCAGTAAACTTTCTTTTCTTGATCTCAACAATCCCATACCAACTCAGCATCTTCACTTTCCCCTTATCCCACCCACCAATCCACTCTGAATTGGCTTCACCTTCTACTCATTCCATTTATCTTTTTTTTTTCCTTTTGCTTACTGTGCTTTTTCTTGCCAAGTTCTTTTTTACTTCCATAACTCCCTCTTTGGTTCCTACTTCTCAACCATCTTTGATCCTTTTTCTCCCATCACCCATCATCCTGTTCCTCTCTCATCCAGAAAATAGAATTAAGACCTGGAGATTGTTCTTCACATTTTCTTCAATTTCTACCAAATTTCTCCTCCTTGAATTCAATTCTGGCCCATTTCACTAATCTAAACCCTTCCAAATTATCTGAATATTTTCCGTCTTATTTAGGTAAAAGTCATTTTGTTTTCTACTGTTCTTTTTGCTGTGACTCCTGGAGCTTTAGGTAGACTTGATCTCTTGGGTCCTCAGTTTTCTCATCTGTAAAATAATGGGGTTGGACATTGATTATCTAATGCTCCTTCAAGTTTTATCATCCTACATGTTTATTCAATTGGGCTTTTCTAAGAGAAGGAAAAATATGCTGATGGATATTTTTAGTTGAGCAATTGGAATCAGTGTAGACAGGGAAAAAATTGGACTTGTGATTTCATTGGTATGAAGTACTCCTTTACCAAAGCAGGCCAGCACCTACTCTGCCCTGTGTGGTCTTAGATAAATACCTAGAACAGGATGAGATTAAGTGGCTTGGCCAGTGTCATACAACTGGTATGCATCAAAAGCGGACTTGGTTGAAGATCTTACTGGCTTTGAGGTAGGTCTCTATCCATTACAATAAATGTAATCTATTAATATCCTAAGTTCCTAGAATCTGGTATTGAAAGGCATCATAGGTTTGAAATGAAGTACTTTGCAAACCTTTGAGTGTCTGATAAATTTTGTTAGTTGTTATCATCATCATCATCATCATCATCATTATAATTATCATAGCAACTCTGACAAGTAGTCATCTACTCTTTTCTTAAAGATCTACAGGTATAGGGAAATTACTTTTTCCATTTAATTTTTTATATAGTTCCTTATACTGATTTGAAATCTACCATTCTAAAACTTCTACCCATTGGTCTTAATTCCTGAGGTCAAGTAGAATAACCTTTATATTTGAAATTCCACTGATAGTGATCATACTAAAACTTTATGGTCTCCATTTTAAAAATAAACCAAATAAAGAATAATAAAAAAACCACATACAAAACAAAACTAAGAGAGGAGAATAACACTTAGGCAGGATATTGATAAGATTACAGATTGAAATGCTCTAAATTTCTGAAATTTATAGTAAGGTGTAAATAATAGTTGTAATAGTCAAGATTTGTTTTTTCAATTTTTAGCCCCCATTGTCCATCTTCTACATTCTCCTTGTATGTAGCCCTCTCTGTTGTTATATAGGCAATAGCAGTCTGTGGTAACATATGCTGGTTTGTTATGGTTAGAAGTCATTTGGTTCTTATATATGTGGTTTTTTTTAAAGATATTCAGATTAGTGTTTAGAGTCACTATGCTCAAGATGCCCTTGATTCATTTTTTTCAGACCTCTTTCCAATCCCCGGTATTGGACAGCATTTGCAGGAATTTTGAGGCAGTCTGTGATGTTCTATGGAAGTGGATATAAAGTGCAAAAAATAATTTCTCATCCAAGTTATGATTCTGAAACTAAGAACAATGATATTGCTCTAATGAAGTTGCAAACACCATTCGTATTTAATGGTATGTATTTACTCTTGTCTACTTTATGGGATATAATAATTTAGTGGAAAGAATATTTTGAATAAATCTCAAAAAAATTAAAGAAAGTTTTCTGTTCATAGGAAAAAATTTAAGATGGATTTTGCAAGGAGAAAACCCTCCCCTTCCCCCCACTCCTAAATAGCAGTTGATAATTTCAGTTGTCTTTCTGACATCACCTGAAAGAATGACCTTAACATTGCTATGGTTATGGGATTCCCCCAGTCCTTCATTCATTAAGTTAGTACTATGTGCCAGGGATTGTGTTATGTGCTGAATAATACAAAGAAAAAAGCAAATACATTCCCTGCTTTTAAGAAGCTTACATTCTAATGAAGGGAACAGCATACCCATAAACTGGTACACATACAATACATTCAGAGTAGATGGAAGGTAACTATAAAGGGAAAGTCACTAGCATCTAGGGAGACCCAGAAAGGACTGCACTGAGCCTTAATGGAAGCTAGAGATTAAGGCATAGTTTATGAGGGAGAATATTCCAGGCACATGAGATGTGGATATTGTATTTCATCTAACTCTTACCTGTTTTCACAAAGATGCAAAGGCAACAGAGTCATAGGATCATGGATTTAGAGCTGGTAGGGACCTGGCAGGCCATCTACTTCAATCTCCTCATTTTACAAATGAAGAAACTGAAGCCCAGGGAGGTTGTCACAGGTTATATGGCAAAGTGGCTATTTTAAACCGTGTCCTCTAATTCCATATAAAGCATACATTCAACTAAAATCATGAAGCCAGAGTATAGGAAATATTATTTTGAAGCTAATTTGAAGCTATTTGGACTTCTCATTGTGTGCTTTTAGAAACAGTCCTAATATATAATATAATTTGTAACAAGGACAGGGAAAAATATCCCCAGCCTTCTTATGTACTTTGCTTTGTTGTTATTCTGTTATTTCCTACTGGAAATAGGGATGTGACAGTGGAGGTATGAACTTGGAATTTTTTTTTCATTAGTCATTCAACAGACATCAAATGCTTACTATGTGCAGAGCTTATATTAGGTACTGGGGAAAATAAAAAAGCTTAGATAAGACATGGTCCCTTTCCTTGTGGTGATTATAGGCTTATATATTCTGGTAAAATTTGTTCATCTTAGAGGATGGTGACACTCTTGTGGTGCCCAGTTGTATTTCTTCGAGAAAAAGCAGTGGAAGAAATGGTCTTTCTTCAGACCATTTCACAAATGTGAGAATGGACTATCATATTTTATGCTCTTATTTTAAAACAGAAAAAATAAGACCAGTGTGTTTGCCTAACCCAGGAATGATGTTTGAACCCACTCAGTTATGCTGGATATCAGGATGGGGTGCAACCTATGAAAAAGGTGAGATGGTTGTTTCTAAGAAGTAATGATTTGGGGATCACATTTTAGTTAATGGGCAATTTAGCAAGAAATTCAGTCAAAATATTTTGGCATATATAACTGCTTCATAAGCATACAATTAATATAGACTATTGATAAGTCCACAATTATAGGTTATGGTAAAGCAGAAAAAACACAAAGGTAAAGAAAGCTAAGCTAACTTAAAGTCAAGTTTCTTAAAGGACTGGCCTTTACCATGGTTGGGAGGATTGGGGTGGAGTTTGCTAGGAGGATTTTTGAGATGGGGAGTAGAGGCTGTGATTGGCAGCTTCTGACATAAACAACTCGGAATGGCTTAGAATCAGTAAAATGGAATCAGAAAAATAATGGAAGTACTATAAATAAATGTTAGCAGCATTTGTATATAATTGATGTTCTAAGGCCAGACTCCTTATGCCTTAAGTATCTAATATTGGTGTAGAAGTGTGGGCCAAAGTTGAGTCTGGTGAATCTAATTATGTGACTTTTTGAGAAAAGGCATTACAATTCATTCAGCAACTATGATTCATTGTATTATTAGGGACAAAGTCCCAAGTTTTGTGTTTTATTTCCCCCTGTCCCACACCTCTTCTGTATCAATGTTGCTTTCTTTGTCTCTTAAGGTTTATTTTTCCATTCCTGTTTCATTCTTCTTTTTAGAGTGGTCTCACTGACATAGAATTATTTACAGAGAATCATGGAAATGGAGTAGGGACACAGAAATAAGTTCCTAGGGAATGTCTTTAGCATGCAAATGGTGTAACTCTGAATCTGTCACCTGGTGGTGGAGAGCATATGTTGATCTGCTTTCCTAAGTATTTCAAAGCTCTTTATCTTTACAATGTTGTAAGGTTCTAGTATAATATTCAGGTAGACCTATCCAGCTCACAATTGGTAATAAAAAACAGATAGGTCAGAGATACAGATTTAGGAGTTATCTCCATAGAGGTTATAATTGAAGGCATCAGAGCATAAAAGAGTACCAGGACAACTGTAGGAGAAATCTGTATTACAGTGGAAGAGGATGAAGAAAATAAACAAGGGCACAGAGGAGGAACAGTAATGAGAGATACTAAAGGAAGAGAACTTGAGAATGTAGTTTACAGAAGGCGAGAGAGAGGGCATCATGAAGGAATAAGATAGCTCATGTCATATATCACCAAGAGGTCAAGGAGAATGAGGAGAGAAAGAAAAGCCATTGGGTTTTTTGTTAGTGGATTTGGAGAGAACTGTTTTAATAGAATGGTGGGATGAAAGCCAAATTGCAAGAGTTTGGGACTGAGTAGGTAGTAAAAGAAGGAGAAGTAGCCAGTATAGATAGCTTTCTTGAAATTTTCAGCAAAGGATGATAACTTGAATAGATAGTATTATCAAAGGAAGAAGTGCTTTTTTTTTTTTAAAAGATAGAAGATACCCATGCATATTTTTAGGGTGAAGGAAAGGCAACATTAAAGATGAAGATACTGAAGATACCTAAGGTAGAGAGAGCCTGTCTTCAGAGAGGAGGATTAATGGATGAAAGTCAAAGAATAATGGGGAGGCAGGAATGAGATTGAAGGTAGTGGTACCATTAGCAAGGGGAAATCAGTACTTCTTGTTAAGTTATTGTTGGAAAGGCAAAGAAAGATGTGGATGTTGAAGGTTTTGGAAGGATTGAGAGAGTTTACGTGGGATGGCGTTAATCTTTGTAACATAGAAGATGAGGTCAAATTTGGCTTTGAAGAAAGGAAATTTGTTTTTTTTCCAGCCAAAAACAAGGTTTATTAAAGATTTGCCATGTTAGCTAGACTCTTAAGGAATCTGAGCATCTATGGACTATTGGCTAGATTATAAAAATCTGTGCCTAAGAAAGGAAATTTGGAACAGGTATTGTTAGGAATGTGATAAAGATTCAATAAGAGATGATTTTAAAAATTACCTAGCAGAAGTGAAGGCTCGCTTGAAACTAGATAACATAAATTTGTAATAGATGGAATAATTTTGTGGTTTCCTTCAGTCACATTTTGCAGACTGAGAGTGGATATCCAAGCCTGAGTGTTTGTAGGGTTGAAACAGCAGAAGATCAAGAAATTGGAATGTGGAAGAGAAGTCATTGTTAAAGTAGCTGACAATATGTTCATGGCTAGGTAAAGTGGAAAGTGAATCAGGACCAGAGTTAATATATGGAGAGGCTAAGAATTGAAACATAGACAGTTATGATGATGCTAAACAAATAAGGGAATTAGAGAATTGGAAGGAAAGAAAATTGCTTTCAAAGGAATTTTAGAATTCCAGGATTTTGAAAGTGCAGCATTTATGATGCTTGAATCGTACTTAATAAGAATTAGATAGACATCTGTTACCTTCTGGAAATAAAGATGCTTATGATTCTTTCTGAAGGAAAAAGGGTGATCCAGCCTCTTTTAGGTACTTTCTGTAGGTTGCTTGGCTTTAATTAAAATAGACTTTGTGAATCTGGAGACCTGAAAGAAAAGTGCTCATCTAGAATAATCTTTAACAAATGAAGTAATGCCTCCTTTTGCTGATTAGCACTTACTGAGTGCCAGAAGTGTACTTTGTAACATTTAACATCAGATATGGTCTATTCCATTGGAAGTGATGATTCAGGCTTCTTGGATAACTCACTCTGCAATGAAACTGAAGAATAAGGGAGGTAGGGAGAGGGGTGACATAAAAGAATCAAACATGAGTATAACTGCTTTGGTAGCAGTTTATTAACTTTATTAACTTAACCTATTAACTTTTCCAGTTGAAATGATCCATCCTTGTCTTAAATTTTATGGTCATATATTGGATCCTTAGGTAAAACTTCTGACTTCTTGAAAGCCGTTATGGTACCCATAATAGAACCTTGGAAATGTAATAGCCGATACGTCTACAATAACATGATCACTCCTTCCATGATTTGTGCTGGATATCTCAGAGGGAAAATTGATTCTTGTCAGGTAATTGCTGTTTTATGTCCAACTCTGGTAAACATTATTTTGGCTATGTGTATTTCTTTTCTTTTTCTTTTTTCATTTTAACATTCTTTTTTAAATTTTGAGTTCCAGTTCTCACCCTCCTTTAAACCCCTCTGCCAGCCCTTGAGAAGGCAAAGCAATATATCCATTATACATATGAAGTCATGCAAAATATATTTCCATGTTAACCATTGCATGGATTTCCTAAACCAACCTAATTTTAAATTTAATTTTTATTCATTTTGAACTTAAATGCAAAAAGACAAAAAAAAAGAACTTTTCCATGTACACAGCACAACATAAAAAAGGATTCAATATCAAACTATGGATTTTTATTTCACTGTTTACTTCTTTTTAAACTATGTAATACTATACACCATTTTCAAAGCTATCTTGCTTTTCTGTGCTTCTTCTAAATTTTCTTCTGTTCTCTGCTGTACATTTTAATTCTTTTCTCCTCCACCCTGCCCTACAGAAAAAGGGCTACCATTAGATGCAAGTTTGTGTGTGTTTGTATCTATATGTGTGTGTGTGTGTATGTGTGTGTGTATACATATGAAATATGTATGTGTGTGTGTGTGTGTGTGTGTGTGTGTATAAAAGTATACTGTACATACATCCTTTTATAAGTTCTTTCTCTGCATGTGGATAGCACTTCCTTCATAGGTCCTTTCCGATGTAGTTGATTTGAGTACTCAGAATGACTTAGTCATTCAAAGTTGACTTAAAACAATATTGCTGTTAATTTGTATAATGTCCTTTTGGTTTTTCTAATTTTGTTCTTCATTGCTTCATACATGTCTTTTCATGTTTTTCTAAAATCAACCAGCTTATTTCTTATAGCACAGTAGTATTTCATTACAATCATATACAGCAACTTGTTTAGCCATTCCCTGATTGATAGACATCCCCTCAATTTCCAGTTCTTTACCACCATGAAGAGCTGCTATAAATATTTTAAAACATATAAGTTCTTTTACTTTTCCTCTAATCTCCTTGGAAACAGACCTAATAGTGGTATTTCTGGGTCAAAGGGTATAAACAATTTTGTAACTCTTTGGACATAATTCCAGATTGCTCTCCAAAATGGTTGGATCAGTTCACAGTTCCACCAACAGTGAATTAGTGTCCCAGTTTTTCCACATTCCCCCCAACATTTGTAATTTTTCTCTTTTATTGTTTTAGCCAATCTGATAGATGTAAAATGGTATCTCAAAGTTGTTTTAATTTGCATTTCTTTAATTGGAAATGATTTAGAGCATTTTTATATGACTATTGCTTGATTTCTTCATGGAAAAACTGCCTGTTCATATCCTTTAACCATTTATCAATTGGTGAATGACTCATTTCATATAAGTTTGGCAAAAAAAATTGAGACATGAGATATGAGATCCTTATCTGAGAAAGTGTATAAATTTTTTCCCCAATTTCCTGTTTTCCTTCTAATCTTGGCTACAATAGTTTTATTTGTACAAACCCTTTTTAATTTAATACAATTGAAATTGTACATTTTACACCTCCCAATGCTCTCTATCTCTTGTTTATTCATATATTGTTCTATTTATAAGTCTGATAGGTAATATGTTGCATGTTCTTCTGATTTTCTTATACAATCTCCCTTTATATTTGAGTCATGTATCCATTTTGACTTGATCTTCATAAATGGTATAAGATATTGGTCTATGCTCAATTTCTGCTAGACTGCTTTCTAGCTTTTCCAACAATTTTTGCTAAATAATGAATTCTTATCCCAAAACACAAGGTTACGAAAATCATTTGCTATTATGTATTGTATGTCTACTCTGTTCCACCATTTACCTTTCTATTTCTTGGCCAGTACCAGGTAGTTTTGAGAATTATTCTTACACTCAGTATTATTTAATCTCATCTTTAATTTTTAAGATTTCCAATTTGGTGTTTAATTGGGGATTTTTAATTTGTTCTTTTTCAGTATCATTTAATTCAGTATTATTTAATCTCATCTTTAATTTTTAAGATTTCCAGTTTGGTGTTTAATTGGGGATTTTTAATTTGTTCTTTTTCTGTTTTTTTAAATTGGATACTGTGGCAATTTTTAATTGCCTTAAAAACCTTTTTAAGGTTTGAGAGACATAGTTTCTAGGTAATTTAATCATTTTACTAATAAGGCCAACACATTAATAATAAAAGGTTGATCATTTGGCCATCTGTCTTAGACTAAAGACAATCATGGTAGCTAGTTCACAGTTTATGTACCTTTCAAAGTGTAGGTGTTCCTCAGGGGTGGCAATCAACTCTGATTGGATAAAACAATGGAAGGCGAACTAAATTAAAATGAAGGGCTGAGCAAGACATCTTGTCACCCTTGGACCAAGAAGTTATCTTAGTACCAGACCGCCCACAACTTTGGGCTATCTATTCAAAGGTATATAAAAATACCCCACCCAAGCTTGAGCAGAACATAGTAGCTTCCACCAGAGTGTGATCTTGAATTAAAAAGTTAGTCCAATCTCATTATCAGCAATGTCCTTTAAGAGACTGAACTTTTAAAGTCAGGACTTTAGAAGAAGAGGAGAGCTCTGAATCTCCCCAAATTATAGGTTATTAATAATTATTTCTCATACTCAGTTCATTGGTCTGCTTTCTATTTTATTGATATAAGCATTTAAAGATATAAATTTTCCTGTGATTACTGCTTTTGCTGCATTCCACAGGTTTAGATATATTGTCTCATTATTGTCATTCCCTTTAATGAAATTATTGATTGTATGATTTCTTCTTTAACTCACTCATTCTTTAAGATTAGATTGTTTAGTCCCCAGATAGTTTTTAATCTGTGTTTCCATGGTCCCTTTTTGAACATAATTTTTATTGCATTGTGATCTAAAAAGGATGCATTTGATATTTCTACTTTTCTGCATTTATCAGTGAAATTTTTATACCCTAATATATGTATTTTTGTATTTTTTGTGAATTGTAATTTTATAATACAATTTTGTAGAAATGTGTCTACTTCTCAGAAAAAGGTGTTTTCCTTTATATTGCCATTCAGTTCTCTCCAGATATCTATCATATTTAGCTTTACTAAGATTCTATTTACCTCCTCAACTTCTTACTTATCTCTTGGTTAGATTTGTCTAATTCTTAGAGGGGAAAGTTATGGTATTACTCTCTATGCAATACATTTAGCTTTCCCTTTAAAAATTTAGATGCTATAGCATTTGCTGTTTCCCTGTTTAATATCTTTTAATTAAAACTATTTTACTTTAACTTTTTCTGAGATGATTGCTAACTTTGCTTTTTTTTTACCTCAGCTGAAGCATAATAAATTTTACTCCAGTCCTTTAGCTGTGTGTGTATCTCTCATTTTAAAATTTGTTTTTTGTAAACAACATACTGTTGGATTCTGATTTTTAATCCATTCTACTATGTTTCCATTTTATGAGTGAGTTCATCCCATTCACATTCAAAGTTATAATTACTAAGTTGTGTATTTCCCTCCATCATATTTTTACTCACAATTATCCTTCTCACTCTCTTTCAATTACCCTATCCCTTTTCGCATGTCTGATTTACTTCTAACCACTTCCTCCGTAATCCACATCTTTTAAATAATTCCTCCATTATCCTCTCTTCTTACCCTCTTATTCCTTAATGTAGAGGATATTCTTTATCCTTTCCCCACAACCTCCTATTTCTCAATCTACACACACTCTAAAAGTCCCTATGCTATCCTGTGTACTCATCCTTCTATTTCTTTAGAAATTTGGAATACTTTTATACCATTCTATATGTATGTTATTCCCTCTTTAACCCAGTTCTGATGAGAATAAGGTTCCAGCACTACCATCCTCACCTGCTTCCACTGTAACAGTTCTTCCATGCATGTCTAATTTTGATGAGATAATTGCTCCATTTTACCTCTCCCTACCCAATTTTGCTTTTTAGAATTCTCACCACACTCAACTCAGTCCCAATCCTTCTATTTCTCTATATGTTCTTTCAAACTACTCAAATAATGACAACATTTTCCCATATAAGAAGTAAACAATTTGGCCTTATTGAGTTAAAAAAAATAATAAAGTTTATTTGGAAGAATAAAAGGCTAAGAACTTCAAAGAAACTAATTAAAAATGTAAACAAAGAAGATTTAACAGTACCAGATTTTAAACTATATTATGAGGCAGTAATTATCAAAACTAACTGGTAGTGGCTAAGAAATAAAAGGATCAGCAGATACAATACACAGTAGCAAATGACTATAGCAGTCTTGTGTTTGACAAATGTAAAGATTTAAATTTTTGGCATAAGAATTCATTATTTAGTAAAAATTGGGAAAGCTGGAAAGCAATCTGGCAAAAATTGGGCACGGACTGATATCTTAAATAATTTACTAAGAGGTCAAAATGGACACATGACTTAGATATAAAGGGGGATATCACAAGAAAATTAGAAGAACATGGAATCTATTACCTATTCAATTTATAGATAGAACAATTTGTGAATAAATAAGAGACAGAGACATTGTGAGGTATAAAATGAACAATTAGATTCAATTAAAAAGTATATATACAAATAAAACCAATGTTGCCAATATTAGAAGGAAAGCAGAAAATTTTGGGGAAATTTTTATAGTCTCTCAGATCAAATATATAAAGATCTTTATCAGATTTATAAGAAATGAGTCATTCCCCAATTGATCAATGGTCAAAGGATATGAACAGGCAGTTTTTCAATGACAAAGCTATATATAGTCATATGAAAATCATTAGAGAAATGCAAATGAAAAACTTTGAGACATCAACTTAAACTATCAGATTTAGGTTAAACTGACAAATACCCTTTAATTGGGGAATGGCTGAAGGAGTTGTGGTATGTAATTGTGATGGAATACTATTATGCTATAAGAAATGATAAGGTGGTTGATTTTCAGAAAAGCATGAAAAGACTTGCATGAAATAATAAAAAGTGAAATGAGCAATAGCAAGAGAATGTTGTACATAGCAACAGAAATATTGTCCTAAGAACAACATTCATTGAATGACAAATTTATCTTGAGTATCATAAATACTCGAATCAACTATGAAGGAAGATGTTATTCATTTCCAGAGAAAGAACTGGATATTATGGGTTTGTGTGTGTGTGTGTGTGTGTGTGTGTGTGTGTGTGTGTGTGTGTGTAATTGTAGCCTTCTGTAGTATGGGGTGGAGGGGAGGGAGGAGGGGAAAAAAGTATACAGCATAGAACAAAAGAAAACTTAGAAGTAAAAGCCATGCACGTGGAAATTCATGGTTTTATACTGAATCCTTTCATTGTGTTGTACTGTGTATATGGAAAAAATTTTTTGTCTTTTTGTATTTAACTTAAAAATGAATAAAAAAAGTAAAAAATGTAATTGGGAAATTTTTAAGAAAATAAATGAAAATACAGTAGAAAAACACACACACACACACACACACTCACACACATAGAATATCAATTTTGTAGTTATGTAGAGGGAAGAGATGGATGTAGGTAGAGTCCAGGGCTGGGGAACCTGCAGCCTTGAGGCCACATGTGGCCATCTGGGTAAGTGCGGCCCTTTGACTGTATAAAAACTTCATAGAATGGAATTTCACAAATGGATTTGTTCTGTGAAGTTTGAATTCAATCAAAGGACCACACTTGAGGACCTAGAGGCCACATGCCTTGAGGCACAGGTTCCTTACTCTTGAGGAAGACCAATTAGGAGTTTTTCCAGTAATCTAAGTTAATAGGTACATGGGCCTGACCCAGAGTTATTTAGATGTAGTAAAGAGAAAGGGACTGATACAAGAGATATTAATGTGATAGAATCCTTGAATCTTGTCAGCTGATTGGATGGGGTTGGTGATGGTGATGAATGAGAATGAAGAGTTAAAAATGATTCCTAGCTTGTAAACCTAGATGAATGGATGGGTGATGGTGGTAGCATAATTAGACATAGGGAAGTTAGAAAATGGCTAATGGTTTTAGGAGGAAAGTTAGTGAATTTCGTTTCAGGAATGTTCAGTTTTAAGCAGTCTCTAAGGCATCTAAGGGAAGATTTAGTTCAGCTCATAACCCAAAGGAGTCTCCATGATCATATACATGATAATTTGTCATCCAATCTCTGCTTTAAGACTTCTGTGTGTGTGTGTGTTTGGAGGGGTGGGGGGAAAGAGCTGACTCATCACTTCTCAAAGAAGCCCATTTCACTTTTGGAAGGATCTAATTAAAATTTTTCCTGATATCAATGCAAAATTTTCCTCTTTTCAACTTCTACCCTTTCTTTCTGAGTCCAAATAGAGTAAATCTGCATTACAGTCATTTATATACCCCCTAAATTTTCTCTTGTCTCATAAACATTGCCTCTTCCTTCAACTAATCCTCCTTGCCTCTCCCTTGAAGCCTTGCTTGTTTTCTTTAGGAACAATTCATTGTCCCTAATAATCTGGAAAGGCAGAAGTGGAATTCCAGAGAGATATTAGGAGTAAATTTATTGTCAATTTCAGAGCCATCTACATATAGATGGCAAATGAACTCATTCAAACTTTTTAGATCATCAACAAAGTGTATAGAAAGAAAAGGACCAGTATAGAAACTTGGGGTACATCTAAACATGGTAGTTAGGATATGGATGATGATCCAACCACGAAAATGAAAAATGATTCCCCCAACAGGAACAAAGAAAAGCATAACAGAACAGTGTTGATGAAAACCCCAGGAGGAGGAAAATCCAGAAGGAGCGAGTAGGCAGCAGTGTCAAATACTATAGAGGTTTTGAGGGAGGATGAGGACTGAGAAAAGACCATTGGATGAAGAGCTCATTGCTGACAGTGAAAGTAATTTTAGTTAATCAGTTTAGAGGGAAGGCAGGTTTCAAAGGGCTGTAAAGTTGAGTGGAAGGTGAGAAAGTAGAAGAAATTGATACAGACAACTTTTTCTTGCAGTTTGACTATCAAAAGGAGGAGAGCTGTAAGAGAATAGTTTGAAAATACTGTATCATTTTGTCTTGTATGGATTTCGGAGTATGTGTGGAAAGCTAAACATGTTTGCAAGTAGGAGGAAAGAGCCATAGACAAGTATTTAATATTAGGTAGAGGGAGATTGAAATGATAAATTCCTAAACAAGATAAGATGATGGGAAGGAAGGAAGGAATTGAAGAAGGGAAGAACGGAGACAGGGGGGTAGTAAGTCTTCCAAAGCAAGGCTTTAAACCAACATTGTTTGGATTGCATCATCCTCCCCACCCCAAAATCTTTCCTCCTTCCTCCCTCCCAATTGTCTCTCATGTATTCATTCATATCAAACATCCTTGTCTTCTTTTTGAATTCTTTCCTTTTCTGTAACTTTCTTTGTTGTTCCTAGGGTGACAGCGGGGGGCCTTTAGTCACCAAGAAAGATTCTGTATGGTGGTTGGTTGGTGATACAAGCTGGGGATCTGGATGTGCCAAGACAAATAGACCTGGAGTTTATGGAAACCTGACAGTATTTACAGACTGGATTTACCAACAAATGCAGGTAATGTTTCCATTTTGCCTTTAATTCATTAAATATATCATTCCTTCCTCCCTTTTTAAAGCTCACACATATATAATATACTGCGGTCCTTTGTTATTAACACAGATGTGAATGGCCAATTATTAGCAGTTGGAAATGTTTTTGGTATTTTTTTCCTTTCCAAGTAGTAGTGATGTTAGTTGGGAGCCATTTCTCTGGTACAGATTTTGGAAATTAGAAGAGAAAGTAGACTGAGTATGCCATCTACAACATACTCGAAAAGCCTTTTCTCTAAGACCTATGGAAGAAGAAAGCGACTACCTCTTGAAACAATTTACTTTGGGCGGCTCAAATTATTGAGTCGTTTGTCCTTAAATCAAGTATAAATATGTTTCCTTGAAACTTGTACGCTTGATCCTAGTTGTATCATTGCAGCCTAAGCAGAAAAAGTCTACTCCTATTTTCCTGTGATAACCCTTCAAATACTTGAAGACAGTTCCAGATATGATATGATCTGGGTGAAGCACAACAGGACTACCATCTCCTTTTTGTACACTGTTCTCATTGATGCAACCTGGGATTATGTAAGTTTTTTTGGTTGCCATTGACTCACACTTAGCTTGAAGTCCACTAAGAATCCCAAGAGCACTTTTTTTTTAAAAAAAGATTTTTTAAATCACCTTTCATTTTTACATCAGTTGTTTCAGGATTCCTTCTCAGATCTCCTTTTAACAGAGAAGAACAGTCCATCAAATAGGATCAACACAGTGACCACATTTGACATAATAGTATTTCTCCTTCTCCACCAAGAAGAGGGAGATATACTTCTTTACTAGTTCTTTGGGACCAAGATTGTTTATTACAGGTATTCAGAGTTTGGTTTCCTTTTACTAGTTTTTTCCCCCCTTGTTTTTATTATTTTGGTCATTACACGTTGTGACAAGAAACACAACTTGTCCTCTTAAAATACAGGAACACCAGTATACATAGTTACAGGTGGATTCTTTAAGAAAGAAATCGCTGAACAGAGCTTGAAGAAGTCTTACACTTGCAGAAAAGTAGCTTATTTCTGTTTATATAGTCTTCTCAGCAGTTACCTGCATTTTAGGCTTGGTGTAGAACTTTATCTTTGTTTAACAAACTATAGGACTTTGTCTTGAATCAGGAAGATCGAAATTCAAATCCAGGCCTCAAACACTTCCTAGCTGCATGACTTCGGGCAAGTCGCTTAACCTCTATTTGACTCAATTTCTTCATCTGTAAAATGGGGATAATTATAACATCCCATGGTTGTTAGATGATCAGATGAGTTATTTTATAAGTGCTTAGCACAGTGACTTCCACACAGTAAGTGCTATAGAAATGTTAGCAGTCATTTCTATTATCATTATCTTTATTGTTATAGTCCCTCAGGTCAAAAGAGATAGATGGCTGCTGTCTTTTTGCCTCCATACATGTATGCTGTTCTTGTGGTTCTACTTATTCATTCTGCAGTAGTTCGTATACATCCTACCCCATTTTTCTAAAATCCTCATTCATAGTTGGCTGCTGTGGAATAGGGTTCCATTCCATTATCTTACTATAGCTTGTTTAGTTATTCCAATTTTTTTGCTATTACAAAGAATGCTTCTATGAATGGTTTGGTACCTTTTAGACCAGTGGTGGGCACCCTATGGCCTTGAGGCCACATGTGGACTTCTAGGTCCTCAAGTGCGGCCCTTTGCCTGAATCCAAATTTCACAGAACAAATCTCCAAAAGAGGTCTTTAACCTCATTTCTTCAGATATTTTTCATATTACCTTTTGTCTAGCTCTTCCTGTATATGTCTTATTCTAATGAATTAGATTTTTTTCACACAAATTGGAGGACCCTATATCCATCAAAATAAAAACATTTAAAAGAGCATTTATTTTATGGTGACTTAGAAAAAAAAATCCTTTTTTCCCTGGCTAATTAGACCACAGGAAAACATCAGTTTAAATTTACCAAGACATAAAACACAGACAATGCTAACAACAATACTGGACATTATACAAATACTAACACTTAAACAGAAACAAAAACAAGACAGATATATAGTCTCGTGTGGTGAGGGTTGGCAGCCTCTTCTCATCTTTAATTTACAATATTCTGAGGTATTGATTTGAGGCCAAAACGAATTATTATCTGAATCTCTTAGAGTTTTAGACAAAATTTCACCTAACCTAGTTGTGTGCTTCTTGGTCATTCCCAGATTCCTCAGGAGCTTCCCCTGGTCCCATGGCATAAGAAAAATTTCCAGGGTGGGAATTCTTTTGATATAATATTACTGGAAACCAAGGAGGAATCTTCCCCAGCAATGTGGAGGGATACCTTGGTTTACCCTTTGGTATGCTAATACTGAAATCCTATCTTTCCCTTAGGGGAATATTCCCAGGGATATCCTTCCCCAATAGTTTGTGAAGGCTTACCTTAAGCTTGGAAGAGCTGAAATTGAAGGGGAGTCAGACCTCAGGGGTGTACTTCAGTGGAGAAATTCTTCAGTGAGAAAGTCAACTGGCAAGCTCCAAGGAGTTCCTTGGAGACATCATTCTAGGGGGTAGGACCTCCTCTAGATCCCTTTGTGATTGTCAGTTTTCATTTTTGAATTGAGGTAAACTGAGGAAACAAAGTCTAAGCTATGCAATTTATTAGCAAGGCATGCAATTGCAGATAGATCAATACATGGCCCCTCAGGAGGCACAAGGATCCAGAAAAGATAATTACAAGGTTTTTTTTTAATAGTAAAACATAGTTACTATTTTTAGATTTAGGTACTTTTCAGGGCTTAAGGAATGTTTATTGGTCACATCCACTTGCATTCTTCAAGCCAGTTAGGGATACAATAATATTGATTTCCTTGAAATGACAATTTACAGAAACAACTAAACTTAGCTCAGGGACACAGAACTTAGCTAGCAACTGTATACAATGTCTATAATGATACAAAATGGACTCAATTTGATTCCATTCTGCCACATTGCTTTACTTATGAAGATAAGTAGTAATAATAATGATGATGATGATGATGATGATGTTAGTAACATGCATACACTAAATATAAATGATTTTGCTGGGAACGTAGGAAAGGGCAAACAGTGGGAGGGAGGAGTAATAAAGACCTTATGTAAGAGGCACTTCACTGAAATGGAACCAGGGGTTTCAAGGAGTAGAGGTGGGAAAACAGCATTCCAGGAACAAGGGACGGCAGGAAAGGACAAAAGGACAATAGACAATGGACAAAAAACAGAAAGCATTTTAGTATTTTAGTTGGATTGCAAAATGTGTGGCGATTAGTGTCAAATGTCTCCTAAGGCAGGTTAAATGTCTCCTAAGGCAGGTTGTAGTCAGATAATGAGAGTGTTAAACATCAGAGTATTTTCTCATAGAAGCAATAAGAAGCCCCTGAATCTTCTTGGGCAGAGGTCAGACCTGTGCTTTAGAAACAGTGATCTGGCTAATGTGGGGAATGGAAGGGAGAGGAAAGAGAATAGAAGCAAGGACATCGATTAAAAGTTGATTGTAGCAGTATAGGCAAGATGAATAAATACCTGAACTGTGTAAATGGAGAGGAGTTAAATCCAAGAGGTACTAGGAAGAAATAATCGACAAGCTAGAGCATCTGAATTGATATGGGACATGAAGAAAAGGGAAGATTTGAAGAAGACTTTGAGGTTGCAAACTTGAATGACTAGAAGGATGATGATATCCTAGACAGAAATAGCTTAAAAAAATTTTTTTTTTGGAAATAGCTTTTTTTCCCTTTCTTTTATTAGAATATCGCTTTGCTTTATTACCTACATTGTACACACTTGTGTATAAATATCTTCAAGCTCTGTTTTATCACTGGTTCCTTTTTTGAATCTTTTTTGTCCTATGAATGACCCGGCATTTCTATTGCTCTTCTTCCTATTACAGGACTGTTTTCCTTTATGACATATTTCATCTCTCAAATTTTATTTTTCAAAAAAGTGAGATAATGATTAGTAACACAGTGAAATGGAAAGAAGGGATTGTTTGGATTAGATTCTGTCTCAGATCCTTCCTAGTTGTAGACAGCATAATTTTAAAGTTTTGAATTAATTTGAGAAAGGCAGGGGAATAGGTTTTGGTAAAAGTCACAAAGAAGATGGGTTGGTTATGTTGCATAGATGAAGTGCTCATTGGTGCTCATGAGATGTCAAGTGAAATTGAAGACCTCCCACAAGTTGGGTGAACCCTGTGATGAACCAATTCATGAAGTAACTCATGACAAAATGCAGCCAGAGGAAATTAAACCACTTAATAATCCTTTTGTAAAAGCTGCCCTGATTGCTAGGCTATCATTGAAATTTTATAAGTCAAAATCCATAATCTCTATTCAGGCTGATATGTCAATGGCATCATCTTTCATTTATTCCCAAGAGTGGCGCTGAAAATGACTATGGGGAATGATGATGTAGAATATGATGATGATCATGATGCTCGTGAATGAGGTTGGCCCATAATATCTTTTACCAATAACAGTCAGCTATATTCCTGGTGCCAATTGGGTCCTTCCATAGGTTTTGTTATAACTTGGCATACCTAATATCTTGGTATGACCTGGCATACTTAATACCTTGCCTTCTGCAACACCAGGCCTGTTGGATATCAGCTCACCTTAGTCATAGTCCCAGGGCATATGATTCGGCTGTTCATGGTCCTGGGGTAGGAGAAAGCTCTAGTCAAGGGCTTGTAATTACTGCTTATCCGTCATTAATTATACCATATTGCTAGATTCCTTGAACTTTGGAGGTTATCCCAAGTAGATGTCATATTTCTTGGGACCCCAGTATCCATCCTTTCAACAAATGGATCCCTAATATTGTTAATGAAAAGAATACCTTTTCCCATTTCCAACTATGAAATTTTGATCCAACATGAAAACCAAGAAGTTTTTCCAGAATTGGTTTGGTGTTGAGAGTGAAATAAACTACAATTTCCAATTGCATTTTGATGACTGTGTCATCCTCTCAAATTTCCATTGATTATGTTTCATTTTAGCTGTTTTCATGAGAAAAAAATGTGGTGTCGTAGCTCGAGATTCATCCTCAAAATAATAAAAACTTAGGATCAAATCCTGCTTTATTAACTGGGTGAATCTCCTCTTTTCCCTCTATACTATTTCACCTGATGATTTCATCAGCTTAATTTATCATTTTTGTGAAGATATTTCTGGCTCTCTAGGTAGTACAGTGTAAAGAGTGCTGGGACTAGACTCAAGAAACCAGAGTTCAGCTCTGGCCTCAGATAGTTATTAGCTGTGGGACCCTGGGCAAATCACTTAACTTCTATTTAACTCAGTTTCCTCATCTGGTAAATAGGGATAATTGTAGCACCTACCTCCCAGGATTGTTGTGAGAATCAAATGAGATAATGATTGTGAAGTGCTTAATACAGTGTCTGGCATAGTTAGGGATGATGATGGTGATGATGATGATGATGTTGCCATTGCCAATTCTCAGATCTTTTTATCCAACCCTAACCTCTCCCAGGACCTCCAGTCTCACATCTTTAACTGTTTATATTTTAAACTCAACAAGTCCAAAACTGAATTCATTGCATTTCCTCCCAAGCCCTTCTCTCTTTATAACTTTTGAGAAGTCAATCAGTTATGCAAGGTGGAATCATCCTCGTGTCTCCATACCCTCTCACTCCCCACATATTCAATTTGCTGCCAAAGCCTATTGATTCTATCTTCATAAAGTCTCTTGTTTGTGCTTCCTTCTCTCCTGACGCTGCTGTCATCCTTGTGCCAGCCCTTATTGCTATGTCTGGGCTGTTGCAGTTGGCCTCTGGTTGTTCTTTCTGACTCAAAATCTCCTCCTTTTCTTGTATATCCTCAACTTAGCTGATTTTCCTAAAACAGGTCACCCTCTCTCACCCCATTCGATAAACTTCAGTGGTTTCTAAGATCAGATATAAAGTCCTCTTCTTTTCCAGTCTTCTTATACCTTCTCCCTTGTCCCCACTCATATACTATATGATCCAGTGATACTGTCCTCTTTACTGTTTTCACATAGGACTTGATATCCCTTGACACTGGACGTAGCTGTCACCCATGCCTAAAATTCTCTTCCTTCTCATCTCTACTTCCTGACTTTCCTGGCTTAAATCCTGTCTTCTACAAGAAGCCTTTCCTAATTCCCCTTAATTCTAACACCTCCCTTCTGTTGGTTATTTCCAATTTAATCTGTGTACATCTTGTTTGTACATAAGTATTTGCTTGTTATTTCTTCCATTAGACTATGAGCTCCTTGAGAGGTAGGATTTTGTTTTGCATTTCTTTGTATCCTCACCACCTAGCACAATGCTTTGAATAGTATTTGCTTAATAAATACTCGCTGTCTTGATTTGACAGACATATGTTGGTAGAAGGAGGTTCTTCACTGGAAATTCATGAATTAATTGAAATCACAAGTTCTAGACCACTCTTACCAGTTGCCAAAAAAGTTTCAATAGTCAAAACTGAGCAGAAGATATATTGATTTTTTAAAATTTGGACTAATATTTTCTCTTTTATTGTTTCTTACAGGCAAACAGGTGATCTGTATATCTTCCACTTTTGAAAATGATCAAGTTAACCAAGGGTGGATTTTCTCTACATTATTTATCATTAGAACAATTCACAGGTTCTTTCATTTTTATTAAATAGTAAATTCAGCTGTCTTTTTTACTCTTCACAGTTCTGTGCAGGCTACAGTAACTTTTTTTCCCCTTGTTTTTCACTGTAAACACAATGTACCTGAACTTAAGTGTTACTGATTTGTTTGAAATGAATGCCAAATATTTCTTGGAGTGTGGAGACTTGTGAATCAAATCAGAATGTTTCATTAGCTTATAGTTTATGTTCATAATTGAGAAAGTCATTGATTGTTGCACAGTAATGTTTTCTAATAATCTAAGTTTTGTATAACACACAACAGTGTGTATTGAACTAAAGATAGTGATTAGAACTACTCAGCTGCTAATTGACTTGAAATGAAACGTGATTCAGGGGAGGACAGGTAAGCCTTCCTGGGTGAGAATAACATGAGAGTACCCCAGCAGTACATTCACATGAAGCCTGATAGCTTTCTCAGAGGTATTTGTTAATTTGTATTTTTCTTTTTTAGTAGCATTGTGCTATGGCTAGAAGTGAATGACTAACTTAACTAAGGCACCTGGGGGAAAATCAGGGATGTGCTATTTAAATTATAGTGTTTTCATGTAGCTTTCTATTTATACCTCTGTGTTTATATGATTTGAGTTTTGAAGCCTTAAACTATTACATCAATATTTGGCTATTTGGAGATATTATGTTCATGAAATCTGAGAACTGAATATCTGAAATACTCTAGATTTGACTGATTTTTGTTGATAGAATGTGTGATATCAGTGTCTTCTAGAGTTTTCCAAATAAATGGCGCTGCTGTAGATTGGCAAAGATGATAAAAAATAAAAATGATAATTATTGGAGGGATACAGGAGAACAGTCATACTAAAACAAAATTGATGTAGCTGTGAACCTTTACAGATATTCTGGAAGGTTATTTAGAATTATGTCATCAAAATCTCTAAAGTATACATATAGTTGTCCCAGCAATACCACTGCTAGCTAGGCTTATACACCAAAGAGGGAAAGGACCTGTATGTACAAACGCCTTTATAGCAGTACTTTTTTTTTTAATAACAAAGAGCTGAAAACTAGCAGTAACCATCAGATGGGTAATGATTAACAAACTATGGTAACAAAATTATGTAGTAGAATATTATTGTGATATAATAAGTGAGAAAACTGATTCAGGAAAATAAAAGGGAGACTTACTTTTGTGGACTAATGCATAATAAGATGAGCAGAACCAGGAGAATGATTTTATAAAGAGACTAAAAATTGAGAAGAAAAACTGCTCTGAAAGACTCATTAATGTGCTGATCAGCCATGACCCCAGAAGACTGATGAAGAAACTTGCTTTCATAGTGTTTATGAGCTAGAGGTTAACAATGAGACATACATCTTCAGAAACGGTGAATATGTGTGTTTTTCTTGACCATGTTAATTAGTTGAAAAGAAATGTTTTCAAAAAGAATTGGGATGGGGGATGATAGTGATACAAAACAAAATTAATGGTAGGAAAATTGAAGTATTTTTTGAAGTGGAAGTTCCCAGAGAAATGTAAGCAAGCAGGACAGCTTTGGTACTACAAACATACAGAATGTATTTTATATCTAAAAACCAAGCTGTTTTTAATGGAGATTCATGGTTTCATGTACGGTCCACTTTTTTTTTTCTGTTCTCTGTATATGGATATCCTCATTTCCTGGTGTTTGCCAAGTTCAGAATAACAAATATATATATATATATATATATATATATATATATATATATATATAAATATTATAAACGGTGCTAAATTTGTGAAAGAGGAGAGTTAATTGTTTTAAACCAAATTCATACAGTTAAATGAAGTCTAAATGACTATCTTGTATATAAACTTCCTCATCCTCTGGCCACTTCCTTTCTGGATACACCAATTCCAAGGACTTTGAATGATACTACTGTGGAACATGGAATCAAAAATCATTAATATATTATGTGCATCTCATGTTGATATTTCCTCTGCCTTTGGTGTTACTCTCAACAGATGTTCCTTAGGAATTTCCAAACAGCGTCCAATATCACAAGATATCAGACAATTGAGCCCATTTTCTAAAAGATCTATCTGTAACGCACAATTTTTTTCCTGATGTTTAGTTTTATTTATATGTAACCAATAGTTTTAACCTACATTTTATATAATTTTAAACAGCTGTAAAATTAAATTGCATATTATCTTGCAAATAAATACTACTTTTTTCCATCCTAAATATCTATGTGGTCTTCATGTGGCAACTAATGTATTACTTGACATTTACATAAATTATCACCACCTTTGTTAAATGCATACTTTGTGATTGAATCAGGAAGATAAGTATAGAGTATTTGACTAGCAGTATCCATAACCACCATCTAGTTCTAGGCCCAACTGTGTTAAAATTATTATGGAAAAACCTCCAGTGTGGTGATGGAAGAACAGTTTTTAAACATATAATCTTCATTAGATCTTGAGAGTAAAAAAAAAAGTACAACCACTAACTTCAAAAATATTCAAAACTCATTCAGTAAATGACAAAAAGATAAATGAATCAACAAAAGTTCGGTTTTCTTTAAAATTCCAAATTTTAGAAAAGAGGAACAACTACACCCAAATAATAGAACTGAGCCCAGACTCAGGACCTTTGACCAGTACCCTCTGCCAACCAAAGGAACCATTATTTTGCCCCCCTTCTACTCCCTCATAAGCCTGTCACCTCTACCATTTCCCCAAGAAGAGGAGGAGGAATGGTACTTAAAGGTCAGGCTGAACACAACCTTAGATCTCACCCATAATCATCTGTAATAGCTTTGGAGACTGGATTTCATTATTCATTAGACACTAATTACTCTCATGTCTTCTCTTGTTTTTTCTCTATTCCTGTACTAATAAATAATTTTTCATTTAAGAGAAAACTCCCTAGCCCCCACCTCCAGATCTCTCATTTACATCCTCAACTCTGCTCGACCCATATCCCTATCCAACCTTGTCCACTCTTTTCACTGTGTTTTTGGAATTCCCATTTCATACTGAACAAACTCCCTTTCATCCCAGATGACTTTCTCTAATACTTCTTCCATGTCACTGAGACTTAGCTCATCCCTGATGAGTCTGCATTCTCAGCTATCCTCTCTAGCACTGGCTGTACCATCTTTGACTTTCCCTACACACATTCTCTCTGTCTCTCCCTCTCCTTCCCTCCCTCCTCCCCTCTATTGTCACTTCAAAAATTCCACTTATACCTAAGTCACTTAATGGACTTTCTTCTTTTGCAGTCCAGTCAAAATTCCCACCCAATCCAAATGTTGATTACATTATGTTGATGTGGAATTGTTTTCAGTCATGTCCAACTCTGTCACCCCATTTGGGATTTTCTTGGCAAAGATACTGGAATAGATTGCCATTTCCTTCTCCAGCTCATTTTACAGATGGGGAAATTGAGGCAAACAGGGTTAAGTCAGTTGCCTAGGGTCACACAGCCAGTAACTATCTGAGGCCAAATTTGAACTCATAATAAGTCTTCTTAACTGTAGGACCAGCACTCTATTTATTGCACTACATAATCAACCTCCAAATCATGCCTCCTTTCTCAAGGAATTCATCTGGCTCGCCATCATTCTCTCATCCTCAACTCTAGTCTTTAAACTTTGAAACTTTAATATTGCCATAAATGTTCCCTTAATTTGAGATTCTGACATTCCTCTATATAAAAATAATCACCGATCATTCAACTTTCCCCTGTACCTACCAACTCCTAAACCTATATTTCACTCTCATTAAGACCTCTGATTTCTACATCCCTCAGTACTTTCTCAGACTCTTACCCTTCCTCTAATTTCACTTTTTCCATCTTCAATCTCTGTACACTTGTCTTAGGGCCACTTACTTTTTGCCAAACCCCAACCCTGGATCAACCCCTTAATCTTCCTACTGATCCCTTTTTGTAGCAAGGCAATGCTTTTATCATTTTATAACTGATTCCCCTTTTCTTTTCCCTAGAAAATCAACAAATTCGAAACATGAAAATAGAAATTCTGAAAATCAAAGAGAATGAAATTGAAAACAAAAAAAAATTTAAGTAAATAAATAAAAGTAGGAGATGGTTTAAAAATCCATTAGCTAACTTGATTTTTTCAAACAGAAAAATCCCCAGTTTTCAGTATCAAAAATGAAAAATGTGAAACAACCAAAGAAGAAAGATGAGGAATTGTTAGAAGCCATTTTGTCCAACTGTATACTAGTTTGACAATCTAAATGAAATGCATGAATACTTGCAAAAACATTAACTGCCCAGATTAACGGATTAAGAAATAGAGAACTTAACTATCATAGCAAAAGAAAATATACTATAAGTAAATGAACTCACAAAGGAAAAATACCCAGGACCACAAAAATTTACAAGCAAATTCTACCAAACATTTAAAGAACAATTCAATTCCACTATAAATTACATAAACAGTTTGAAAAAACAGGAAAAGATTGAAGTCCTACAACATTACCTTTTATGACACAAATACGGCCTTGATACTTAAACTAGAAAAAATCAAAATAGAGAAAGAAAACTAGTTCAGTTTTCCTAATGAATATTGGTGCAAAAATTAAAAAAATACATATTAGGAAGGAGACTATAGCAATTGTTACCAGGCTGCTTCTACACCATGAATGTAAACAATTGATTATAACAAAACCAAAAATATATAATTATATCAAAAGTTGACAAGTTATAACACCCGTTCATAGAATCCACTGGAATGCACAGGAATAAATGGAACTTTCCTTAAACTGGTAAAACTGGTCTATCTAAAACCAACAGCCAACATAATTGGGAAAAGTTACAGGTCTTTCCAATAAGATCCAGAATAAAGTAATGATGTCATCACCATTACTATTCAATATATTCAATATAATGGTCAAAATGGTAGATATAACAAGACAAAAAATAAATTGAAAGAACAAGCACAGATAAAGAGGAAATGAAATTGTGATTATTTTCAGATAATATAATGGTGTTCTTAGAAAACCCTAGAGTCAACTAAAAAGCTAATTGAGATAATTTACAATTTCAGCAGTTGCAGCATATGAAATAAGCCCATAGCAATCATCATTTCTGTATATTACCAGCAGAAAGGGATAAAGAAATGCCACAACTTCAGAATATATGAAATACTTGGGATCTACCTGCCAAGTTGCTCACAGGAACAAAAATACAAAACATTCTTTATACAAATAAAGACTTACTCAAATCTCTATATTTGAGAAATGAAGCCTTTATCAGACACTTGATATAAAAATTGTTTCTCAGCTTTCTGGTTTCCTTCTAATCTTTACTGTATTAGTTTTATTTGTGCAAAATATTTTGCATTTAATATAATCATATTTGTCCATTTTATGTCTTGTAATGATTGCTCTCTCTTATTTGGTTGTAAATTCCTCCCTTTCCTATAGAGCTGACAGATAAATTATTACTTGCTTTCCTAATTTGCTTATGGTATCACCCTTTAAGAGAAATATTGATTGTCCATTTATAGGTTGAGCTATTAAAAATGACAATATTGTCTAAATTACTTATATCAGTACAGTACCAATCAATGTACAAAATTGTTGCTTTATAAGAGCTAGAAAAATAATAATTCATCTGAAAGAATAAAAGGTCAAGAATATCAAGGGAATTGATTTTTTTTTGAAGTGGGAAGTAATGGCACCTCACAGTGCCAGATTTTAAGTTATACTACAAAGACATAATCATCAAAACAATTTGTTACTGGGTAGGAAATAGAGAAGTTAATTAGGGCAATATATTAGGTATGCACAATACACAGAAGCAAACAAATACAATAGTCTAGTGTTTGATAAACCCAAAGAGCCCAGCTACTAGGGCAAGAACTCACTATTCAACAAAAACTTGGGAAAATAGGAATGTGGTCTGGCAGACCAACACTCAAATTAAATAAGCTCCAAATGGGTACATGATTTGGGCATAAAAGGTGACATAACCAATTAGAGGAGGAAGGAAGAAATTATCTGTCAGATCTATGGATAGGGGAAGAATTCATGACCAAACAAGAAACTGAGAGGTTCACAACAGGTAAAATGAACAATTTGAGTACATAAAAATTTAAAAAGTTTTTTTTTTGCACAAACGAATGTAGCTAAAATAAGAAAATCAGGAAATTGGGAATACAATTTTTGCAAGTTTCTCATAAAGATTTCTAAGGGAACTAGTTCAAATGTATAAGGATAAATTTTCAATTGTGTCTGACCTTTCATAACCCCATCTGGGATTTTCTTGGCAAAGAGACTGAAGTGGTTTGCCATTTCCTTCTCCAGCTTATTTTACAGATGAGGAAACTGAGGTAAACAGGGTTAAATGACTTGCCCAATGTGGAAAAAGTAGCTGGGGATGTTGCTTCTGCGTATCACTCAATCAGGGGGTGGGCGCCTATGTGACAATATTAGAGTCAGTTTAAAATGGAAGGGAATGTGAGAAATAGCTAGTTTGTACTTCCACAAAAATGCAATCTGGAGGCTAGGTGGAAGTTGAACAAAGGAAGCCATAAAGTAGAATTGGTGGGTGAATAGATTAACCAGGGAAAACCGGTTCTGAGGTTAGGTATAGATTAACATATCCATATCCCAGTCCAAAGGGATGTGGGCATACTCAAATAAAGGCAAAAGTAAAAAGGGCCAGCTGAATTGTGGGGAGTGGGAGATGTGAAAAGGGGTGGAGACTAATGTGGGGAAATTAGGTGCTTCAGAGAGGCTGTAACCTCTATAGTACCCAGCCAATGGGGAAACAGGGGAGGGAAATTTGAATCGGGAATAGGGAATAAAAAAGGTGTGTATCTGAGGGACACGTGTACTTTCACACATGCGACACCCGGGCCTTCCCAGGCCGTTAACAAAGCTTTTTCCTGGTTCAACAATGGCTTCGTGTAATTTTTGGTAAAGCTAACACCTAGGGTCACACAGGTAGTAAGTGTCTCATACTGAATTTGGATTCAGATCTTCCTGACTCCGGGACCAGTGCTCTATCCACTGTACCACCTAGCTGCCCTTATAAAATATAAGAGTAATTCCCTAATTAATAAAGAAAGAAAGTTTATGAATAGGTAGTATTCAGAGAAAGAAATTTGAGCTATCAATAGACATGTAAAAATGTTCTAAATCACTATTAATTAGAGAAATGCAAATTAAAAACAACTTTGAAGCACCACATAATACCCATCATATTGT